TAACACTTGAGGATATCATCCTCCAATTATTTATTATATGCGTTTATCTCTGTGGGATAAAAAACCTTCAGCCTTCAGCTTTATAGTAGCAGGTTCTTTTATCAGCTGTACATCAGCGGTAGACATATAGTTGCTGATGATTTATAGCAGATGTACGTCGGAAGCAACTTCATAGAAACCACCAGCTGAAATTTTATAGCCGCACATGTTGTTCAGCAGCTGCAGACAAGCCGCTGGTTGTAGTTACTAAAAAATATTACTCAGTACTCACTGCAGTGAGTGACGCATTTTCTCGTCGACGAAAACGTGAAGTCACAGACAGACGGACGGACGGACAGACGGACGGACGGACAGTCGTACGGACAGACAGACAGAAGGACATGACGAGCACAATAGGACATTTTTTCCATAAATGAGAGAATGCCCTAAAAATATTCTAAAATTGCAGATGTGCCAGCAGCTTTGCAGCAGCACTTTGCAGCGATGTACAGTTGTGCATTTCCGTGTGTTTTATGTTACGTCACGTATGAGGCATTTTGAAACACCACAGGAAACCGGCGTGTTTTGAGTCGCAGCTTGAGAACCAGCCATCAATTCAGAGACGTGACCGACGCGCTCACCTCGTGAATCCACCAACAGCTCGAAAATTCTTGCAAGTCACGGACAAGTTTAGCGTTCCGTGGGGAGATGGGGAGGGAACATCTAGAGTGGGGTTGAATGTTCGGTAGAGAGGGAAGCTCTAGAGTGGGGATTCTGAAGAGGAGTTGGGTAGAGTGGCCCACTCAAACGTGGTACCGGTAATTTCATAACGCTGACGGTTCTAGCTAGTTAATATTATTTAGTTTATCGTCCCATGTGAGCACTTATAAAGGGTATAGAGTGATGTTGTTACGTAACCCACTGGAAAGAGATGATGTTATAACACAGCCCACTCGTCTAGGGTGATATAACGCAGCCCACTCGTCTAGGGTGATATAACGCAGCCCACTCGTCTAGGGTGATATAACGCAGCCCACTCGTCTAGGGTGATGTTATAACGCAGCCCACTTGCGTTGGGCGATTTTGGCACACAGCCCGCTATAATACCTTGGTGCGATGGCTACATAAGCTCGTCTGTTATTTTACTGCAAGATTAAATAGTTAAATTTAACGGCAATATTTACCACGTGAGCAAATCAAGGTTCAGCGCAAGCATGGAGCTGGCAGAGCGGGCCGTTCATAAATAGCGCTCGTGATGTACGTGAATGCTATTTTTGAGCCCAAGGCTATCAGGATGCACAGTCCCTGAAACTTGTTTAAACTTGGTCTCGATTTTATTATTTCCTCACAGTACCGATTACTCGAGATCATAGTTCTTAAAACATAAGAAATTTGCGCGCTAAAGTTTGAAACCCGAGTGCTTTTCATAATTAATGAAATGTAATTAAAATGTATTAATTAATGTAAGCGATTTTCACTATTAATGTTCATTTTCGACGCATAGCGTTCATAATGGGAATTATTAATAGTCTGTCATTACGTGGGATAATCGTCAACACTCTCTAAATGTGCGTTATCGTTATAACTTGAAATTAAAAATTTGAAGACTCGTTATTTTTTGCAAACCTTCACTTCCCTTCAAAGTAAATAATCAAGACGTGCACGTTATTATTCACAACTTGCACTGATATCCGAACACGTAGCAACAATACTAACAAACGACGGCTTCACACAGGAAGATTTAATAGCTGCGGTCTAACCTTGAAAATAGACCGCGGCGTCACTCGATCGAAGTCCCAACAACGTACGCTCGACGCACCAACGATGCACGATTCGCCCTGAACTTGCGCCGTCTAGAAGGTCAGCACGTACGCTCCTTGGCGACCAAAGTAACCACTTCAAATGGGGTGGTTACGCATCCCTCCCCCCAACCCGGGTGGTTACGCATCCCTCCCCTCGACCAGGGTGGTTACGCATCCCTCCCCCAACCCGGGTGGTTACGCATCCCTCCCCCAACCAGGGTGGTTACGCACTACCCTCCCAAAACCAGGGTGGTTACGCATCCCTCCCCCAACCCGGGTGGTTACGCACCACCTCCCCCCAACCAGGGTGGTTACGCACTCCCTTCAACCAAGGTGATACCGCACCCCCTCCTTCAACCAAAGTGGTTAGGATTAACTTGGTTGGAGTTAGGTCAACCATTTGCAGGCTTGAGAACGTTTGATCGATATTTTCTCGATCGTTCGTAAATTGGTTGCTGGTTTATAACGGTACATTTATTAGTTTTTCATTTCAAATCAGACATTCATCATTACACCGCTGCTGAGTTACCACGCCGCTAGCGCTCCCATATGCTGCTGACTTCAAGTTTCCGCAGTTCCGGATGTGATTGGGCAAAATTTTTGCCAAGGTTCGACAGTGCAAAGCCTTGGTCGGGTTGTGGTGGGCAAAGGCAACTCAAGGCACAAAATAACTAACTGCCTGCCGGCCTGCTGAGCGTTTGTCCTTGGATTGCGTTAGGTAATGCGAAAGGCCACTAACCTCCGAAGTGGCAAGCTGTAGTGAACTACTACTCCGATTCTGCAATTCCAAAATGATCCGTAGTTTTCACTCCCTGAACCGAAATCTTCTCGAGCGTCCTATTTTAGATTTCACATTGTATCCAGCAATCTCGTACATCAATTACGTCAGTTGAAAACAACTTTGCTGACAAATTCTTAAAACGATTCTCGGATAATTTAGTTTTGATAACCATCACGAATCTTGATGACTCTCTAGTCCCTAAATAATGCAAGTAGAATCGCGTTCATAATAAGGATAAATGCCGTTTTAAAACCCAACCGAGTGATTCATGTCAAAATGCTGCTTTATGTGATACTTAATTTTCAACTGCATTTCAATTCGGTCGATGAAGCATGTTTGCACGAAAAAAAAGTATTCATTAATGGGAGTGCGAAATACCACATTGCTGAAATTTATTGATTAAAAAAATATATATGGCGATATGTATGTCCACCTGGTCATAGCGCTGCCTGAAATTAAAGGCCACAAATTTGTACAATAAATAAGCTACATACAAAAACCAAAAACAGTATTTTGATAGGCATCATAGATGTTCCGCTGGGCGCTAAAAGTTTGAGGAAAAAGATAACATGTTTTGTAGTTGCGTTGAGTTAGTTCACCCGAGGTGAGATTGTGACTAAAAGTAACCTTGATCTTCGCGACGATTGTCATCGCTCAATGCCAAGGTTAAAACAAAGAAGTCAATGATGGCTTCATTCTTTTCTCCAATTCAGTGGTAGTACAACACCTGTAGTGATTACTGCCGCACGTCGATATTACAGCAAGAAACATATGTCAATCATTTTATTCATTGAGGTTCGTTATAAGATATAAAGTTAGTGAAAAATGAAGCAATATGAAATATTTTTACTATGACGAACTAATTATTTTTTGATCATGTTTGCTATCAAATAAAATTTAAACATTTACCGGATGCTATCTATGCAGTTTCCCTAAGTTAGTGTCCATTAAAAATTTAATCCTGCATTTGACGGACAATTCCTTTACAAATTTTTTTGCCTTAAATCCTTCAACGCAAAATATTTGAAGTGTCACGAAGAGGTGCCAGATTCTCCTCATGGCGGTCGCGCAGTTTGATAATTTTTTTTCGACTCGGCGATGACGTGATTCAAGATCCGGAATGGCGGAGTCGTGCGAAAATAAAACTTAAACTGCAGAACCAAAACGCTTTGTAGGAACGAGTGAGGAGGATGTTGATGTTTGTAACCCTGATTTACGGTTCCGGAACCGATACAAATTTTCCAAAGATAAATCCCCAAAATCGAATTTATTCCTCTAATTAAAGGCTCGATGCGGCCCAGTTTGATCCCGGACATTTGATGGCACTTCGGGTATAACTTAACAAGATAAACGATATATATTTTTAATTATCTTGAAAGCCCTCGAGACAGGCGCATTTTATTGTTCTGAAATTCGTCGCCGGGACGTAAACCCAAAATGAAAAAGACTAAAGCTTTCTGTTAAAGTCGTGTCTTGTGAGACGTGAAAGGATGAACCTGAACCGGTGTTGTGACGGTTAGAACGGTTATTGTGGATGACGGTTGCAGTCACTGACCGTTGCTCTTCCTTCGTATGGCGGGAGGAAGTCCCCCGGTTCGTAACGGTGCTGCTGTTGCGTAGTTTTTCCGCCTTCACAAAATCTGATTACGGTTTTGTCGCTTACATTCATAAAGATTAGGTGCGCATAGCATTAAATGAAAGTTTACTCGAGAAATCTTCCTAAAATATATACGAATCCTAATTTTTGCGAACACTAAGTTGGTTTTCTAGAGTAAGATTTACGTGATAAGTTTATTATGTGATACAAGATTTATGCGCTGAACATGAAGGAAATCGTCTTTCAAATGCAGCAATTGTAAATCCAAATAACTGGAGTGCGCTTGTTATGATGCAAATTGCACTTCACCATTCTACCAACATACTCTCAATTTTCCCTCAACCATGATAACCAATCTGGTGGCTCGATACTGAACTCCGCATCACGAACTACAGAGACTTGACTTCGAAGTGAATAAATTCTTGACATAGTCGTTGTGAGCGTCACTGCACGAGCGGGTGGTTGAGCGCTTCTTTCTGGAAGCGAACACAAGGGATCGTTCAAGCCAAGGTGACCTTCGAAGGAGGTTTCTGAGTTAGCTGATTCTTAAGGTGTGGTTCGCCTTCGCTTGACTTTTTTCTCCATGTACAGAGCAGGTTTTTGCTTGCCTTTTAGGATTGACCGTTGAGTGTGAGCGGCCGGGCAGTCGGAAATGCTGCGCCTGGGAGACCGTTCGAAGTAGATTGCAAACAAATGCAGCGGTCTTGCTAAGTTCCTAAAGCTTACGGGTAGTAACATGAGCATTTCCTCTGGATATCTGTTGGATGGGGTGATAATGATTCAGCGGGATGTTTGGTATGCAAAAAATTTATACTAATGCAGGTTTTTTCATTCTTTACAGATGTGCAACGAGAACGATTCTGCCTCTCTCCGATCGCTTCCTTCCTGCCAAAGAGTAAACCTACACCACCTTTGGTTATTCCTCCGTTTGCCGGAGCGTTCTTGCCTATACAAGATCAACCTTTGGACTATCGGAGTGACTCTCGCAAAACACCGAAGAAATCTCGAGAATCTTCTCCAACAGCTGCAAAAACCTTCAGAACTTCATCACCTGACTTGACAAAGAAACCATCCACTGTCGGCCAGGAAGGACTATCGTCGATTATGAACACAGAATTTGAGTACCAGAACAATATCCCGTTTGACCTGAGCGTTCGAAGGTCGCGCTCCAGCAGCACTTCACCCAACAGCCTCCAGCCAAAACTGGCAAACATGTCCCTGCACGGGAGAACCCGCAACGATGGAGGTCAGGGACACTCCAACGGTTCGTCCAACAATCAGCATAACCTGGATGGAAGTTCGTCCTACTCACACTCTATGAGTGGAAGAGGATTTGCTGGAGGAAACCCGGGTAACGGAACCGGCGGCAGTGGAGGCGATGACTTGAATGGTAGTGGAGGATCTGATGGTAATGGAGGAGGATCCTATGCTCTGTCCCCTGTCAGTTTAGACGAAGAACCTATTCTCCCTCTAGTTCAACCATCCGTGCTACCGACACCCGAGAACTGCCGCTTTCTACCACCCAAAGTTCTGGACAAATCATTTGAGTTTCCCGCTCCAGAATTCCCACCGCCGACTTCTCTATCCAATGGCAACACAGACATTCTAATGACATCGAACAACTCCTACTATCAACATCTTCAACATCAGAGCACCCAACTTCAACACCAACCAAGTCCTCCCCAAACTCAGCTGATGTTGCAGCAGAATCAAGGATACTCCACGAACACCCCAAGTCCTCCTCTCGTTATGTCTCCTCCTGACCTCCTCAACCTCATGAGGTCTCCCCCCGACAGTCACTCCTTCGAGTCACTCAGCATGACCCAGGTTGGTGTAAAACATGATGAAAATTTAATGTATCAGCGTGTTGACCAGCGGGGGCTGAAATTATCACGCATTGCCCTGATAGAATAAAAATACAGATTGAACTAATTCCCGGCTTTGGTTTACATGAAGCGTTAAAAGCCTCCCGAATAATTCAACTTTAATTCGTAATTTTGAATATGTTATGACGCGCATGGACAGAAACAAGCTCTTCACGACGTTCCATGTTCAATTCCAATTTCCCGTTCGACGCAACTATTGTCATTATAGTAGACACTCGGTCAACACTTTTTAGCCACATGTAGTCAGTCAATTGTATTTCACATTAACTCAGTCAATACTTTCCAGTTAAGTCAATATTCAGTCAACACTTTTTCCTGCTCCAGGTGCCGCTGGTGTCGTCAACGGACGTCCACGGTGGCAACTGGGACAGAATGTCAGCCGTGTCACCATCATACTCGTATGGCAACAGCGCCAGCCCGGCACCGTCCCTGGATGCGTCACCTCCCATGAATATTGCAGAAATGCAGGTAAACATTCCACTCGAATGTAACTTTGAGAGATAGCAAATTGTTAATTTAATAATACTCATAAGTTGTCGGCCAATCTGTAAGCGGCGGGGATCTCAGCTCATATATAGTAGTATTACAATACAATAAAAATTTAATTTGGTGGTGTCAGCTACTGATTAGATCGTGTTGCTGATTATTAACTACCTGACCATCTTGGCGATTTTGGCCAGAATTTTCACATCTAGCTGCAGTTTCCAACCCCCAACACTCTGCTCCAATCTTGGTGAACTTAACTATTTGACCCCTACCCCGAGCATAAATTATCACACATGTATCTCAATTAATATAAGTACACGAGATTATCGCTAGTAATAATAATGATAAGATTGTAGTTATGATAGATATTGCAATAATACCAATAGTATATATCAAGACTTTAATACTAACTCAGTCTCTAATTTCCCCAGCAACGCCTAGGTCTCCCTGAGAACGTGCAGCTTGAGTTCGTTAACGGCGGTCACGGCATCAAGAACCCACTCGCGGCCAACCTCGACTTGCCTGCCAACGACGCCAAGCTATCGGGTATGTTTTAAATAACTATTATTACTGGTATTTCTGTACAACATATAATAATGAGGGATAATACGAGATTCTTTTTTTGTTTAATTTAATGCCTTTATTCCAACATTTATTTCAAATATTGACCATAACTTGACGCTCTAGTAAATTCGAGAAGATCTAATGGGTTCTGTTAGAGTTCTTTGCGAGCAACTGTTTTTACTGAAAACTTAAGCTACTATTGTCCAAGAACAAAATACACTCCTGTTTCTGTTGATTACGTTGAAGATTTTGCACATAAATTATTGCTTTTTATCTCGATATACAATATTTTTAATATTTTTAGCTGCGGACGAAGAGAGTGGGAAATTGATCTGCCGAATTTGTTCAAAAGTGTTCACCCTGCAACGACTGCTGAACCGACACATGAAATGCCACTCGGACCTCAAGAGATATTTGTGCTGCTTCTGTGGCAAGGGTTTCAACGACACATTTGACCTCAAACGCCACACACGCACGCATACAGGTTCGTAATCCTAACATGTTTCCTTTGCTTCGTAGTCCTCTGCTTGTGGACAGACGGTCATGATAATAATGGAATCCTTAAGGATGTTTGCAGCCTCTACCACCTCCTGAGATTTCGCTTTCAAACAAATTTCTGATTCTTATTCGAGCTAAATAACTGTACCTGAATTATTAACTAAAGCCATGATAGTAATTACGTAATCACAAGGGCTGTTTTTTACTTCCAGGCGTGCGTCCTTACAAGTGCAACCTGTGCGAGAAGTCGTTCACGCAGCGATGTTCTCTGGAGAGCCACTGCCTCAAAGTTCACGGGGTGCAACACAACTATGCATACAAAGAACGTAGGTCTAAAATGTACGTATGCGAGGAATGCGGACACACTACCGGCGAGCCTGAGAGCCATTATGTCCACCTCAAGGAACTACATCCTTACAGCCCGTGTCTGCTCAAGTTCTACGACAAACGTCACTTCAAGTTCCAAAATCAGAACTTCACAAACATGCTTCTCATGAGTCAAAACTAATTTATTGTTTCCAGGATATGTGCATATTTAAAGCTCTTGTTATCGAGTAATTTGTTATTATAATATTGTTGTTATTATTCGACGGTAAGCATTTTTTTCGACTGTGGAGTTAGACTCGGTGACGAAACATGATTAATGATGGTAATGAAGGTTAGTAGTAGTGAGGGTAATGAGCAAGATGGCTCAGGAGACCTATGAGGAAGGTGGTGCTTAAAAGCGATGGGTTGCATGTAGTGTCAGAGACCGGATTATTGATCCCTTTCTACCTGATGATTTCTGGAAATTAAGCGAATGATGTTGTACATAACGACGGATGATACGGAAGCATCGAGTACAAAAGCCACCCACAACGATGCCTTGTTTGCGACAAGCACTGGACGGCAGCTTATGTATTGGTCAGGGTCTGTCGTCAGTCAATGATCGTGATGAACAACTGATTTTTTTTAAATAACCTCTGATGATTATAAACAACAGCGAACGTACAAGTTTGAACGTGCGTTTGCAACGTACAAGTTTACATCTTATTAAGCAACGAATATGAGAAGTGCAAATATACTATCGATACTCCTTTCTGGGAATTATAATATGTTGACGTTCTCCCACAAGAAAAATTGTCTAAGTAATATCTATTCTTTATCATTGCATGCTGAACAGTCATCTTCGAAATCTATCATTACTTTCAAAACATAATTAGCACATAGAATGTCTAACCCTTTGTCATGTTTAAGGGAATAATTTCTATTTAGTTCGGCTCGAATGAATTGCTGATTTTCAGTTTACTCTGTTCTCGGCCCTGTTTGTTTGACGTGCATTCAACTTCATTGACGATGACTGCTTCAATCACAAGTGTATTTTAGATTATTTATAACATGGCCCCGGTTTTAATGTGTAGTTATTTTTGCAGCTTTTTATTCAGGATCATATGCATAATTGTACGGTTTTAAATTATGGTGTAAGCAATTTCTTCAAGTGTTTACGTTTAAATTTGATAACGAAAAGTGTCTAAAGAAGCGAGCTTCAGTTCGACACAGTGATTGTAGAGATAAATGACAAAGTGTTTAGTTATTTAAGTCGCACCTGAAAGAATACGGATCTCTCAGATATTTCTTGGGCATTATTATTATGATTAAGGATTCATTAAATCTACAACGGTGCTGAAATGGATAATGGTAAACTAAATAGGTGTTGAAAGGGGAGATTTTCGCCCTCCACCAGTTCAAAACTTCAAACTTATATGTCCATATCTATCCCACTTACCTACTTCGCTATGCTCTCCTTGAAACTACTTGAATCCCATCACACAAAATAACTACGTCTTTTAGAGTATTTGAGTCTGAATCACTCGTCTTTTAGGGCACAGAATTTTTAGATATTTTTTTTATGTTCCGCATGTCATTCATCAATATATGAAGTTTATCTGCACAAATACTGACCTCAAGTATGCTCCATTTCCAGCAAGATATATGATATGTATATAATGCTTTGTATCTCGATTCTGGCAGGATACCAGTGAATTAATAAGTATGATATTTATCATTGATATTTCTCTGCATTCTCGATTGTTCATGCGATAGACGAAACGTCAAATAATAGCTGTACAATTCACACACTAAATGTCCTGGAATTTATGGTCTTTTTAAAAAATACACTTTCTTTAACTCGTTGGTCGTCATTGGGACGGATAAAGCTCCCTGGACCAGTCTGAAGATCGCGTTTAATTAAGTTAAATCTCGTTGTTACAATTATTTGCTGCGCATCGTGAAGATGCCTCATTGTTCCATAGGATACAAACGTACATCTTCTGAGCATAGCACAGGGACTTGTGGTTATAGCATCGCCCCCCTTCTATGGTATCTCTGTGGTGCGGCTCGCACCCGTATCTTTGCTGTCCGTTCCTGCGAGGTTGTCAGTTTTGTGGTACGGCTCGTACCCGTATCCTTGCTGGAGAGCGTCAAAACTAAAAGATTTGTCGATTAGAAAGTTACATAACCTTACCTTTTATTATCATAGGGGCTATAATGTCACCAGCAAAGAGTTTATATTGTTTGTCCGACTTATTTACTCACTTTGCTATTGCCTACCTAAAAGAACTGCGAAGAACTGGTTAAGCAAAATGCAAAACGGAAGTTTGAGCAGCAAGGTAAATTTAATTTAAATATTTCATAGTATTAGTTCAATACTGAACAAAATTTGATATTAATCGAGGTGATTTTTATATTAATTAATGTTGCGACGTAGGATTGTGGAGGCGTGCGCAAATATTGATGAACTGATGAACGAGTAACGCTTGACCAAATTATCCTTTGATGATTTGCGTAACATTTTTTTGCATTCCATACGTTACCTTTTCAAAGTATTCCATAGTTTAAAGTCAGCTTTCGGCATTATTCTACATCGTTTCAAAACCTAAAAACTTCCGCGGAAAGAAATCCTCTCATAAATTAGCCCAGAATAATAGCAACAATTGCGGCAAAATAAAATATTATACCGCGTCCCTTACAAAAATTATAGTATGCACCTTCTAACGCATGTTTTTTTTCAACTTAATTTCATTTAGAATAAAATTCGAAATTCCTGAAAGATTTATGAAAATTTGGTCTAGAAACCTAATGACATCGATTCATATGTCCTATTTTTCTTTATAAAACGGAATAGGAAATAAAGTAAAGAAAAATATACCTCATTTTAAACGATGAGGAACATAAAATGCTCGATCCGAACTTGTGAACATTGAAACATGGAAATAAATCTTGTATCCGACGTGTCTATCAGTGTCCTCAACCAGCCATTGTAATATGAAAATGTTAATGTAATGAACCAATTAATATAGGTTTTGCAGGATATGCCACTCTGATAATCCCACGCAATAAGATCGCGCTAGGAAAGTTTGTAAAAACAAAAGTGCTTTCAAAAATTCAAGAATGTCCGCCCCCTTCTCCACTATGTCATTTTGTAAATATTTTCAATAAAATATAAGTGTTGTTAATAAACTGCGTCTTAATCACCCTCCTAAAAAGCAACGTCAAGCTTCGTTGTTTCGGTAACGGATGACGGTAACTCGTATGTAATAATGTAAGTAATATAACCAACGGCTAGTGACGTGACCTAAATATACTTAACTAATTCCTGTATATGACATCATATATATAATATTGCTACTCAAACACTAAATTCGGTTAAGAATTTGCGTATCGCTTCCATACAGTTACATGCTCTTCAGGTTATAAGTGATATCAAAACTAATATTTACCTCACAGAAATTATAAAGCACGGAGCATTAGTAGTACTAACCCATGTTACTACAAACCAGGAAATGGATAAAAAACGAATATGTATCAGCAAGACTTTGTATTAGCGTCACAGCAGTCATCTCGCGGCGCCCGTAGCTGTGAGTTCAGTTTTCTTGCCAAAGTCGAGCACGAGTTTGGAAAGTTGAGACATCACATCACAGCTGTCCTCGAAATCCTGATAGAAATAATAAGATTACAATTTCTACTTCGAACAATTGAATATTCACAAAAGAACAGCAGCCTAGTAGATATGAATTAACGTCAATGAAGCTTGAAACTTGTGTAAACATATCACTGACACATAGATAATAAACTAATAGCAGAAGAACTCAAATAACAAAGGCACCAAGCTGAGCAAGTGATCTTAAATATAAATATTTAATTCTCAGTCCAAAAATGTCCCCCATGGGCAGGCTTGAGTCTACATAATTCTGTGTCTGCCTACCAATCAAATAACATCGCAAAACACACATCATATAACACATATAATACAACAAATAACATCGTTCGCTACCAGCATCTGCCGGACATCATGCAACTTAAGATTCCTGACCTCGACAACTCATAACAACACACAACATCACCCATCACACAACATCACCCATCACACAACATCACCATCACACATCACCCATCATACAACATCACCCATCACAGAACATCACCATCACACAACATCACCCATCACACATCATCACTCAACATCACCGTTATACAACATCACCAATCACACAACATCACCCATCATATAACATCACCCATCACAGAACATCACCATCACACAACATCACCCATCACACATCATCACTCAACATCACCCATCACACAACATCACCCATCATATAACATCAACCATCACACAACATCACCCATCACACAACATCACCATCACACAACATCACCCATCACACAACATCACCCATCACACAACATCACCCATCACACAACATCTCCCCGACCTCGACAATGCAAGTCTGGCGCAAGGCAGCGCTGCCGTCGGCGACTCTGAACGAGAAGAGGTTCTGTGCAGGGGCGTCCACGGAGGTCTTCTCGGCCAGCAGGAGACTCAACCCCAGCGTGGGACGCTCCTCCTGCTCCTGCGGGTGCGGGCACAGCAGCTCTGAGGAGGCCAGGTCCTTGTCGCAAGTGTAGATAGGGAAGCTCATTAACTCCTGTGGGACAGGCAGGTAATTAGGGAGGAACTTTAGAGTTGCTGTGGGACAAGAAGGTAATTAGGGAGATACTCCCAAAGCTACTGTAGTACAGGGAGGTAATTAGGGAGGTACTCCCAAGCTACTGTAGGACAGGGAGGTAATTAGGGAGGTACTCCCAACATACTCTAGGTCACGGAGGTAATTAGGGAGGTACTCCCAACATACTCTAGGACAAGGAGGTACGTAATTAGGAAAGATTACTGCAGTAACAAATAAACAAAGGTTACCCTAACGACCGAAGTAACAACAACAAATGTCAGACCAGCGAGAACGTGAAGAAGAAGAGGCGCGTGTAGGAGCTGAGGAGCGGTGTGCTGGCGGCGGGGAGGAAGAGCAGCCTGAAGGCGGCGCTGCTGCCGATGTCGTAGAGCCTCAGCGGCACCAGCTCACCCCCACGGTACAGGATGACTGCAAGGCAACATAGGCTGAATTAGGGGGATAAGAGGGGACAAGGTAAGCCAGGGGGGGGACTTGGGAAGCCAGGGGGGGACTTGGGAAGCCAGGGGGGACTTGGGAAGCCAGGAGGGGACTTGGGAAGCCAGGAGGGGACTTGGGAAGCCAGGGGGTGTCGGGAGACAGGACGATAGGTAGGGTGACTCAGTGAGACATGGGCAGTAAGGAGACAGGGTGGCTCAGGGGGGCATGGAGCGATAGGGGAAGTCAGGTGTGGAGATAGAACTTAGGAGAAAATGGTGACTAAGATAACAAGGAGTGACTGCAAGGATAAGAGGGGACATGGTAAGCTAGGGGAGACATGGGAAGCCAGGGGGTGTCGGGAGACAGGAGGATAGGGTGACTCTTTGAGACATGGGCAGTAAGGGGACAGGGTGACTGAGGGGGATATGGAGCGATAGGGGGAAGTCAGGTGGAGATAAGATTTACTAGAAAATGGTGACTCAAGATACCAAGGAGTGACTACAAGGTAAGGTGTCAATACGAAGCAAGGCAGGGGCTTTCATGCACCTGCGACCTATCCTAAACTCGATGGTGACGCTAGCTACTAGATATCCAAGATACTGACACATCTGAGCACAATATACTAACAAATAATGTGTTGCTAATTATGGTAATGAGTAGCTAATGCCAACGTACCCCAGTCTGGACACGGCCGCGCAATTTGAACATAAACGCAGGTGGATCTCACCGTGATGTTCACCGCACTTGTCTACCTGAAGACCTTAAAAAGACCGGGAGATCCCCCCAGGTATCAAGTATCTAGAGTTCATTCAGGGAAACCAACCCAAGGCCATGCTGAAAGCACCACCCTCGACGACCACCAAGCGCCGCCCACCAGCGACACCGAGAAATGAACTGATCATCCTGAGGCTCGAACCCACGACTCGCTCCTCTCATCTCTATGCCGCTACCACCGCGCTTACAGTGGTGCTAACCACTGCGCTATAATGACGCCTTCTTGTTAGGCTTCATGCATTCGCACATTCTGGTGAACATTTAATTGCTTTCTTAATTCTTCAGATCTTAAGCTTAATTGCTTTCGGATTCAGATTCCCGAAAAATTAACAGCCAGAAAGAATAAAACAAGTTCAAATCAAAAAGTTATGTTGATTTGAATGCTGAATGCTGATAAAATGAAAGAAAAATTCGTAGATGAACAAATGGGCACAACAGATCAAAGATGAGTTGTCTAGTAATTTTTTATATTGCCTACAAACCTACACACCTTCATAACAATAATAGTGCAGTGCTGCTCGGACATTATTAAGTTTTCTTACACAATTCATTTTACCACAAATAGCATGAAACTCCAACCAATAATGTCATTGTTATTGGTTTATGTCAAGAAATTAAAACACGCACTCATCCATTATCCTCCTAATAATGATGTAATACATCATCATCATTTTACCTTTAGCCTAGTATACGTACACTATTTCATAACCATAGTTTAAAAACCACTATAATGATGATTTAGTATACATATATAATATATACATATATAATATCAATGCTTCCTGTAACTTGAAAATGAATGTTCTCACATTCGAAACGTCGTTAATAAATTGATATTACTCCACTGAACCTGTATTTTGATCAACTAATTTCATCTGAAGAATATTGTTCGACCCTGAAAATTTAAATTGACGAATTCTCTGGCCATTAGCCACCCGTGTTAAAATATAATATACGCATATATATCACCTTAATAAAAAACTATGATGATGATTTAGTATACATATATAATATCCGCATATATAGTATCACCTTAATAAAAAAACCTATAATGATGATTTAGTATATACATATATAATATACGCATATATCACCTTAATGAAAAACCTATAATGATGATTTAGTATACATATATAATATACTCGACCTTGGAAACCTGATATTTGACTTTTCAGTTCCTATCAAGAGCCTAATTCGCCGAATAGAGAAAAACAATAAGAAAATTGTCAATAAGAAATACTCTCTGGTCTTCAATGAAACCTGCATTAAAGAAAATCTTCTGCCAAACTACACCAATATATAATATACGCATATATATCACCTTAATAAAAAACCTATTATATATAATATACTGGACATGTGAGGGGATTGCACGCACCCTGGTTGTCGTGGGTGGCCACGGCGAGGAGGGCCGTGTTGGGGTCGTAAGCCACGGCGAGGGCGGCTAGGGGCGCCATGTACAGCAGCTGTCGTGAGCGCAGACACCAGCTCGACACGGCGCTGGGGCGACACTCCACCACACACGCGCCGCCGCCCGGCAGCCAACTGAAGCACTGCAAGCAACCGCAAGACTTTTATAGCGGGAAAACAATCTTATTATTGAGTGAGTGAACATTGGTATTTAATGAACACACAATCAAGCTAATACACAATCGAGCTAATACACAATCAAGCTAATACACAATCAAGCTAACCATTTTTTATAGCAGGAAAAGAATCTTATAATTGAGTAAGTGAACATTTGTGTTTAATGAACACACGATCAAGCTAAACATTTTTTATATCGGGGAAATAACCTTATCATTGAGCAAATAAACATTCATGATTAATAAATAATCCTACTACAGAAAATCAGCGGTATTTCCAAGGGTTACGAATGTTTGCAAGGAAACAGAGGAAAAAAGAATAGAACGTGGTAATGTTGGCTTCTAAAAGATGTTATAAATTATTTTAGGGGCGAAACACTCACTTAAAGAATTAAAGCGATGCAACGTGTACCAATTCACCCACTACCACCCACTTCCCGTCATCTTAACTCCCAACCCAACCCCACCATCAACCCCACCCACAACCCGCCACCCCACCCACAACCCACCATATCAGTGAGCGGCTCTTGCAGCTGCTCATGGGAGAGGGCGAAGCATCGCTTGAGTGGGTCAGGCCGCCACACCGACACAAGCCTCTGGTGTGCCACAGCGATGAGTGTGCCACACCAGGACCACACGCCACACTGCGCCACACTGCTGCCGTCCCAACACCCGCCTGACGACACGCAGGCCCACTGCGACACACCTGGTGGGGTAGAGTGGGTTACTGGACAAGCGGATATGTCTAGTGATGAGAACAAAATGTAATTAATGAAATGATGTGCAAATTAAAACGTTATGCAAATCAATCTGATGAGAAAAGAATGTAATTAACGCAATAATATGAAAATTATAATATGAAAATCAATGCGAAAAGAAAATAATGTAATCAACGCAATGTAATGTAATATGCAAATTAACATAATTTACCATCATTGAGCCTCGCTCCCCAGAGCTTGATGTCGCCAGCCTCGCAGAAGGTGAGGCACAGAGGCAGATCAGAAGAGGCTGTACTGCACAGCTGAGGCTGCAGTGCACAGCCTCGGATGCGCGCAGAGTGAGGGCACAGTACACTTGTGTCCATGCGCCAGCTGTAGTGATTACACTTAATGTTTGATACATCATAATGATTATTGACAATGAATATACAGAAAACTATACGTCAGCTGTACAGTGTTTACACTTAATGTTTGATGCATTATAATGATGATTATTGACACTGAGAATAATTATATACCAATAAGTTAATAACTAACTATTTGAGTAACAAAACAAGAAATAAATCCAGTCAATACCCCGAGTTTGGATAGAATTTGAAGGTGACTAGCAACAAAATTTCGTCAAATTCCTTCAGCTTGGTGATTAATCTATTGAAAATATTAATCATAACCTAATTAGTATATAGATGCAATAATACTAATCAAACCAGTGCACTGATTAGAACTAAGCTCTGATCAGAACTAAGTACTGATAAAAAAAAATAGGTTAAACAAGTTCTTTTCTAAAGTTCATATGCGAGTTCAAGAGCAGGAGTGACGTGTGTGACGTCACGGTAAGTCACGGCGTCCATCCGGAAATTCTCACTAACGACGTCCACCATAAACAGCTGTTGCTTCGTCTCCTGTAAAAATTAAATAATTTATACGAATGTTTTACTTATATTCTAGCACTTAACTTCATAGCTGAATGTAATCTTGATCCATAGGTCCAAAAAATATTACTTAGTACTCACTGCAGTGAGTGACAGAGAGCGCATTTTCTCGTCGACGAAAACGTGAAGTCACGGACGGACGGACGGACAGACGGAGATAGCGAGCACACTAGTGCATTTTTTCCATAAATGAGAAAATGCGCTAAAAACTAACTGGTAATAAATGATATTATAAATTATTAATATTCTTAAAGCTATTCACTGACGCTGCTATAGAAATGAAGGTGCCCAGGTCTAGACTTGGTGACGACAGCTTGAGTCCTCGGGTCGTAGGATAAGATGACGGAGTCTGGCTTCAAATCCCGCGCAGTTCCTAAGGCCAGCTGTCCTGGACTGGAGATCTGTTCACGCACCGACAGAGACACGCCCAGTCCGAAAAACAGGTTCTTAAGCTTGTATTCCACCAGGTCTACCAGACTGAAACCTGCACAAAGTAAATAAATATTATTAGAATGAAAATTACGCTAAACAATAAGTCTAAAAATTATGACCCTTTAATTAGACTTCATTATGTTGCATAGAAATGCAACAACATAGTGTCGGTATTGTTGGTGAGTGCAATTTTCTTTGGTATATTTTCCTTGAAATAAATTGAATATGGGAAAAAATTTTCCAGATATAACTGAACTTGAAATTTGCAAAAAAAAAACAAAAATGGCCTACAAATTACTCAAGATATTATTAAACTTGGCAAGATGGCAGGAAACCGAACTATTGTCGGTGTGGACGGCGGATATAATATGCCCCTGTATATTCTTCATGGCATAATTGAACTTCACGATATGCTTAAAAGCAAATGCACTCTAAAATTCCTGCAATCTAATTAATTTTAAAATAAATATCTCAATGGAGATGGTAAAACAACAGACTGTTGTCGGTGTGGGTGGCGGATATAATATGCTCCTGTATGTTCTTTAAGGCATAATTGAACTTCACGATATGCTTAAAAGTAAATGCACTCTAAAATTCCTACAATCTAATTAAACTTAAAATGAATATCTCAATCAAGATGGTAAGTGAACAGACTGTTGTCGGTGTGGGTGGCGGATATAATATGCTCCTGTATGTTCTTTAAGGCATAATTGAACTTCACGCTATGCTAAAAAGCAAATGCACTCTAAAATTCCTACAATCTAATTAAACGTGAAATGAATATCTCAATGAAGATGACAAAACAACAGACTGTTGTCGGTATGGGTGGTGCAAAATTCCTATTCTCTAATTAAACATAAATTGAATATCTCAATGAAGATCACAAGAGAACAAACTGTTTTTGGTGTGGGCGACGGATCATATAATATGCCCCTGTATATTCTTCAAGGCATAATTGAACTTCACGATTTGCTAAAAAGCATAAATGCACTCTACAATTCCTACAATCTAATTAAACTTAAAATAAATATCTCAATGAAAAATTTCGGCAAAACAACAGACTGTTGTCGGTGTGGGTGGTGCAAAATTCCTATGCTCTAATTAAACATAAAATGAATATCTCAATGAAGACGACAAGACAACAGACTGTTGTCGGTGTGGGTGGCTAGGAGCGACGCGCCCTCGATGCTGAGGAGGGTCATGGGGGCGTTGAGCTGCGGCAGTGGCTGCTTCTGACGGAGGTTGCCTTGCCGCAGAGACCAGCGCATCAGCACGCCCTGCAGACTGCAGCTGTATAACTCCTGTAATAAATTATACATTACTACTAATATATTTTTTAGGGAAAGTATCTAAAAACAAAATCTAAAATCACTAGGTAACAAATTGTTATACAAAGTTTTCTTGCCCGTCTATCATAGGTATTTGATAGAATAAATTTAAATTAAATTAAGGCCGCGATTGATAACCGCGAGCTCTCAGGCAGGCTTGGCTGGATCCCTATGGGAATCTATCACTACGTATAGTCATTATAACTCCGCTCGTAAGTAAAATATCGATCTGAATTTTGTCATGCTTATTCAGCTATTTATTTACAATTTCTCTACAGTAACAAATAAAATTTATAAAAAAAATTTTTAAAGACCACGTTTTTCATGTGGACTCAAAAGTAGAAAATAATTTTACGGCAGCTACTGATCTCTGTTTGCTTTCATTCTCTTGNAGGCTACTGACCGATCCATCAATGGAGAAGGCTACTGACCGATCCATCAATGGAGAAGGCTACTGACCGATCCATCAATGGAGAAGGCTACTGACCGATCCATCAATGGAGAAGGCTACTGACCGATCCATCAATGGAGAAGGCTACTGACCGATCCATCAATGGAGAAGGCTACTGACCGATCCATCAATGGAGAAGGCTACTGACCGATCCATCAATGGAGAAGGCTACTGACCGATCCATCAATGGAGAAGGCTACTGACCGATCCATCAATGGAGAAGGCTACTGACCGATCCATCAATGGAGAAGGCTACTGACCGATCCATCAATGGAGAAGGCTACTGACCGATCCATCAATGGAGAAGGCTACTGACTGATCCATCAATGGAGAAGGCTACTGACCGATCCATCAATGGAGAAGGCTACTGACCGATCCATCAATGGAGAAGGCTATGTCTGATGCAGCAAGCCCATGCAGATGAAGTCTTCGGCTTGTGCGGTAGTGTGAGTCGAAGATATTGTAATAAACTTCCACGCCACCATAATTATCACCAGCTGCTACTGTTTTCTCGGAAGGATGAGCTGCTACACATGTAAATGTCCGCTTCTGCGCTAGAAACCTGAAAACCATACCTTTAATTTACAATACAGATATACATTAATGCTTATTCTGACATTAAAGATGACATTGCTGATTGTTTACATGAAGTTGGAATCAATTATTTCATTTCACATATATACTATTTTTGGTCTTATTAAATTAGCACCTTCTGAATAATTATCTGATGAGGTCTCTCAAGATAAGTGGTTTTATTGGCTTGATTCAATAAAGGTTATCTCACCGTCTCTTGCGCTCATGTTCCCGGAGGAGGGATTTGTTCTGCACATTGGCTCTGTCGGTAGGTACGACTTCAAAAGCAGAGAACTTTCCTTGGTAGGTTATACCAACGCAAAAGTCCCTTTCTTTGCTGAATGAGAACTGGAGGATGAAATAAGTAAAAAATTATGAGAATGTAAAACCTGGAATTCACTGGTTGTTATGAGTACCTAACAATTATATGGTTATCAAAAGTTTAAAGACACAGAAAGTTCTTTTGGTATATGAACCAAAACCAAGCATGATGCTGAGTTAGATGTGGGATATAGGTATTTGCTTTAGAAAAGATACCCTGGAATTGCATACCTACAAAAGACAGAAACATTTTTGAACATAAAACAAAAAATGGAAGAAGGTAAAAGTAATGAATAAAAAATTCTCAATAAATTTTATCCCATATGGAAAAAGTTCATAACCATGGCTTTTTATAATCTTCAGAGAATTCATTACCATGACACAAGGCTACTCACTGAATTTGCTCCTGGACTTATATTATTAATTAGCACGTCTCTTTGTTCAAATTTATTCTCCAGGTCTGTCATCATAAGTTGACGTTCGCCTGAAGGGAAGCAAATGACCGCAGCAACAGAGCCATTCTTGTACACATGCGCCAGCTGCTCCACCACGCCTAAAGCTGGCACTGGGAAATGCAAATTCTGAAACAAAAATTTATATCTTAGATAAAATCTTGATGGTACAAGAAACAGTTCATGATGAGAATTAAACTGAATTATAATTACCATATTATTTAATAAGGAAAATGTTACATTAGCATTAATTTATTAAATATGAACATTGATAACATCATTAATAAATAAATAAATGACTTCTTTTTGTTTGTGGTTATTATCAGCAGTTTTTCATCCTTTAAAACTATTTGGCTCAAATTAATCCTTATTTACTTAGCAGCAGATTTTTTAGTCTATGGCAGTGTGAGCAACTCACAATTATATTTTCATAAATGATAAATAACTCCTCTTTAAATCTATATTGGTCCAAAATTCTGAAGCTTAATACTTGAGATAGTTATATTAAACAATACACCTATTAGAAATCATTTATGTTTATTTACTATCAAATAAACTTGAAATAAACGAGGATAAAACATAAAATTCAATTTCTTGAAGTACACTGCAGGAATTTTTGGTGAATGAAGAGATTTTTACTTCCATTGAAATATAGAAGGCAATGGCAGACTAACCTTTTTAATAGTGACATTTCTGCCATCGATATCCCACACAATAATTCTGCTTTTGTCATCACAGCTGTACAGAGAACCTAAGTGGGAGGCAAGACCAACAACCTGTAAAGAAAACATCATGAAAAGATCATCAATAACTCCTCAACAGCAGATCTTTCTTGTGTATTGTCAATATCAAACAATAAATAGCAATAAATAAACATAATAAAGAAATGGGTAGGTATTTCAAATAAGTGCAAGTTGTTTCAAATGGAGAGATCATTGACTTTGACTAAAAAATATTACAAGATTATTGACATTAAAAATATGTATAGACATTTCTTTAACCAGTGATCACTACCATTATCAAAAATATATGCAACTATGTTGCATATATTTTTATGTTTAAAAATATGCAACTAATATAATAAAAAAATTTTTGCAAATAAGTCTTCAAACTTAGGTGTCCAGGAACTTACTTTGCTTCTATGATGAGCGAAGACATAGTCAGTTATACCTGCTGCAACATCAATGATCCTAATGTCCTTCCCACAAACTATTGCTGCTCTCCTGAAACACATTAAAAAAAATCAGGTCAAGGTAGGAATTCTTATTCATAGTACACTTATAAAAATTATTTCATCTTCTACACTTTTGAATTAGTTTTATCAATAGTAACAAATAGTAACAATCATTCATAATAATGCAATGTGTGATTATTTATGTGTGAAGTAACTTCACACATAAATAATTCATTTTATTAGTGTAGCAGAACCTCACAGCACAGTAATATATATTTTCTATGATGATTTTATTGAAGAAGCAATACCATTCACATCTGACTTGTGATTGTTTCATTTAGCTACATAAATGATTAACTCATGACTTAAAAATCCAGTTGTCACCCGAAAGTTAGACATTGTCACACTTGCCACTCATATGATTGAAATAATTATACTTAATTGCATGGCTCCAATGACATATATATATATTTTTTCAGCAAATGAGAAATCTGCTGCCTCTCAAGTTGAGAATTTTAATTTGATTGAAATTCATGCAGCATGCCAAAAAATTGATCCAGAAAATTTTGAACTTTTACTGTTCAGGTATGGTACTTCAGTATCGTGTTGCTGCCTGCAAATATCACGTCCAAAATATTTTGGTTTGACAGTCATTTGAGGTTATGTCAGACAGCTTTCTAATAGCGAGGAATTGCAATGTATCTTTAACAAAAAAAATATTAAAATGAGTTATAGAGTGCTTAGTTTTATCAAAAGTAAAGCAAAATATTTTTTTTTAATTCTTTAAGAGAAAATTTTAAGACGATGAACTTACGATCTCTTAACATTTTTTGAAAGTATAGGCCCTGGTATCTAAGAAAAGGTAGGTACTGTAATACTAGTCTGGAAAAGTCCTATTTTTGTCTGAAATATCGCGGCTCTAATATCATATAATTTCAGTAGGTATGAAATCTCGCGGCTCGAATGTCATAAATTTTTGATTGATTAAAAAATGTCATTTCATAAAATTTTCAACTTCCGCAATCCGCATTGCTTTACCGTTTCCGCCAAAAATATCTTGCAGAAAATAGTGGAAAAAACATAAACATCGTAATGTAAACAAATAAACAAAACGTTTGTTGAAGATCGCGCATAGTTGCGGTCATGTCAAAGCGGTCAGACTATATTAACACGTGCTGAACTTACAGTAGAGACAAATTTTATTGTTGCCGTTTGACTGTTTAAGGGTAAAATTAGAGATTTGGGGTAACACATGCATAAACTTTGTAAATAAATTCGCATTCGCACCTCGTAAATGGCTTTTCATGGCCGAGATATGGAATTCACGGCTCGGTGAAATAGAATCACAGCTCATAGAAATGGAATCACGGCTGGCAAATCCATAAAACCACGGCTCGAAAAATTCAGTCGTGGCTCGCCAAGTAGATATATTCCATACTAGCTGTAATAGTGTGCTTAGTGGATAGTAGTAGTAACTGTAGTAATAGTGTGCTTAGTCCACTCTCGTCTCTCTGCAATGTGGCATTCAAGGCATTGCACAGCCTGCACTGCACAGGTGCAAGCTGAATAATGCTGATGAGTGATGAATGATGATGTGGCAATGAATCTTAAATATTCTAACTGATGTTAAGGGCTTAAAAAAATAAAGCCCTAAAAATTTCAAATAATTGTTGAACAATTTACCTAAATAATGAATTAAGAAATTTTGAAGGAAGCTTTTGACTGATATTCCAGATTACACTTTCAAGTTTCAACCAATAGAATTTTTATAAACCTTCAAGCTTCAACTTCAAGTTCAAGAGTTCAAGTCTTCAACATTTTTCAATAACATGCTTATGATGCTAAGAGTAAGAAGGGCAATTAAGGACACCTCTGTGACTGTGAGGCTCTGTCTAATTTTCCAACAAGACTCAAGCACATTGACAAATGACAGTAAAAGTACTAAAATTAGACAATAAATTTTCACCTTCCAAAATCAATCAGCTGAGGTCGACAGTAGTTCATGCATCCTCCTTCTTTACATAATCCTCCAACCGCAATTTTCTCCACATCCACAGTCATTTTGAACGAATGAACAAATTGCAACGAAGGTAAATTTGACTTGCACGACAAGCTAGCTCTTTTAATAAAGTTTTCACATTCAGAACATCGACAATTTATTTTGCTTTATTTATGTTGTTGTTTGACGTTTGGTGAGTATTTGAGCTTCAGATACTTGTCGATGTAGCTTCACATTTGTAGCTTACTGGCCTGTATCTTTAGGGGAATTTTGCTTTATTTACTTTTTGAGCGACCGCCAGTGTGTAATTCACGAGAAGTCGATTGTGAATTAGATTTTTATAGGAACGCGGAATTGTGGACTCAAGATGTCGGTTGACGTAACTTTTTCAATTTTTTACACTAATTGTAGTTGTAGCACGTATAATTCACTAACGCATCTTCCTACTAGACGTGTTTTTTTATTAGATCTTCTACCCTCTATAATTTCTGTAAACAAAAATTAACTAATATGCACAACACTACTATGACATGATGATAAATGGAGAAGTTAGAGGATATTGAAACTAAAGACACGACATTCTGTCGCGTCTTTAGTTTCAACTTCCTCTAACTACTCCATTTATCATCATATAATAGTAGTGTCGGTCCTGATGTGGCCTGTCGCCGATTCTTGTACTGTTCGTGACTTGTTCACAGGAGATCTATAAAACAGATCCTTTGACCGGATCTTTCAAAACTGATGATAATTTGAAATGGCTACTAGACATCTACCAGGTTCGCGATAGTGCTAGGCAATTCATGTAGGAGCATATATTTCTCCATAGCTTGAGCTAGTCTGTTAATGAACGCGTTCATAATCGGGGAGGCTGTTCAACATGTCTATGACTGGAAACGAGAAGAAGGTTGTCGCGTGGATGAGTTACAATGCAGTTTTTTAGTTTATACTCGTGACCCCTGGTACTGTTTCTCGTTTCAAATTCTAGTAATCTTAGATTTTGTATAACCATGAGGATACCCGTTTACTTCATTGAGGTTACCACGCAGACGTCAATAACAGAGGCTTGGAAGCTTCAAATTCTTTCATATTTCTTCATAAGATCTGCCCTTCAAGCCTATAAGCTATAATTATTATTGTTGTACGTCTCTGAACATTCTCTACTAAAATTTTGCCCTTTTCAAGTTTCGGTGACCACATGGCGTTTCCAAACTTTTGGGTCGGGTGCAAGACAACGACAAACAACAGCTTAATCACTTGTGCATCTAGGAACTCGTAAGAGCGTCTGATCAGTCCAAGAAGTTTATTAACTTGCGTTTCAATATGACTTAAAAGTTCAGCTCCTTGTCGACGTTAAGTCCCTAATCTTTTTCCAACCTAGATTTTTACATCATTACTCTCTCGTTGCAACTATGTCATCTCATCTCATACGGTAACCTCGCTGTTCCTTGTTCTTCCTGAGGTAAAGTACTTTATAATTGTCAGCATTAAACGTTGCTGTCACGTATCCGCCCAGTTAACTAAACTATCAAGATTATCTTGCAATTGCACTCTATTTGACACATCCTTAACTGTATCGTAAACTCTTGCGTCATCGGCATACATAGAGCACTCGCTTGAAACTACCTCTGGCAGATCGTTTATGAAAAACGAAAAAAATGGACCACTTACTCTTCCTTGCGTCACGCCATTGCATACTGTTATACAGTCTGCTACGGTTCCGTTACTGACACGACACGTCGTCTACCTACTAGAAAATCTCTGTTCCATTGTAGTACATTTGCTTCTGTTCCCAAAGACTTTGTTTAACGCAACAGTTGCTCATGAGGAACACTGTCAAATGGTTTGACAAAATCGAAGTACACTGCATCCACTGGCTCTCTTTCCTCCAGCAGGAGAGTCCAATCGTTCGACAGTCTGATAGGAGATGGTTAACAGTCAAGTGATCGATAATCCTATACCTCACAACAGATTCCATTACCTTACAAGCAACACTTGTCAGACTAACAGGGCAATAGTTACCGGAGGGTACTCGCGTCAATTTTTTTGAACCATGGTGTCATGGTTTCAATTTTTTGAACTGGAGCTTCTTTTCAAGCGGACGGCAATGTTCATTCGCTCTAGGTTTTTTGAAAGAACATTGCCAAAGGGCCGGCCAGGACGGTAGCTAATTTTTTGAGCAATCTAGGATAGAAGCCGTCTGGTTCACATGACTTTTTGGGATTCAGAACGACAAGGCGCTTGAAAACCTCTTCTTCGTGTATTCCAATACCTGTTAACTTCGAGCCTACTGGGCGCTCCTCAGTAGCTGGAATGCTGTTAAAGTCCTAACTCTGAACACACTGCCAAAGAACTGTTTAAGAACGTTAGCCTTGCCCTCATCAGAGGATACCGTTCGTTGATCTAATTTCAGATCAGAAATGCCGTCCTTTGTCTTGCACTTCGAACTAGCGTACACAAAGAAGGCTTTCGGGTTCTTTTTGGATTTTTGGCAACATATTTTTTTTACTGCGGTCAGACAGCGTTTTTAGCTGGATTTCAAGCTCTTGCATACAGGTTATATTCAGGATCGCTGCGAGTTCGTAAATAGCGCTTGTAGGCTTCTTTCTTGATATTTGGCTTAGCTATAACTGTGCTGATAAAAAGTCACAGTGGATGAACACTGTGACTTTTTCTCACATACAGTGAGATAAGAAGATGCCAGACCGTGAAGACATCGGAACGTCAGAAAAGCGACCTTGAACTGCGTACGATGCTGCATGCGCAGTCAGTGACGATAGCGCAATATCGGCGTCCCGTGATCGAATTTTCGCTCGAAGCGGGGACTTCGGATAAATCAACTCTAGTTTCTTACGTCCATTTTTTCCCTGTATTTTTCATATGAGCTTTCATTTCAGTCAGTCCATTGCACAGCGAGGTAAATTTTTCACTCAACGATCGCACCATCTCACTCAAGGATTTTAGACACTTATAATTTTATTTATCTTCTCACAAACTTGCTACTGAGTCTTAAAGAAGAACATATCTCAAATAATTTTTAATCAAATATCAACTTCATTTGATGAGAGAAACGGCTAAGTTGAGTGGAGCAGATAACACTGATGCCACTGTGACTTGCATAATACCAAACCATGGAATTACTTTGATGTTTCGAATCTAATCAACAACAAGCTGTGCTAAAAATCAACTGGTCGCATTGGTTGGTAACTTGCTTCGGTTAGTCTTATGGAGCCAACAGTCGAACACGGCATTATCAATTCAACTATTGATTGTTGTTTCTTTCTCAAGTCATTTCATATTATTTTATATTAGGTCATTCTCGATTCTATGCCAGAATGAGTGGCCCAATACTGTCGTCAAAACCTAAACCTTTTGTCGTCAAAAAATATACCTAATTCAAAATTATCGTCAATAGTTTTTAAATCCTCGACGTCTGAAGTTCAAGCTCTAGCAATGACTCCGCATCCAACTCTGCCGCCAGCGTTGCCGGTGGTCTTGCTGGTCTCGTGTCCTCCTTGTCCCAGGTCGTCGCGACCCTCGTGCACGACGAAGGCTCGTCCCACGACGCTGTTGGGTCCCACCAAAGTCACCTGGTGGTCCGTGATGTCCACAAGAGCCTCGCCTCTCTCATTTGCCACGATGTTACCCAAGTCACCAACATGGCGAACGTGGTCATGGGGAGCACCGTGCACACGCTGCGCAGTCGAGTTACCAAGAGAGATTATACATGAGAGGAAATGCACGACAATGGGAAATAAATTTTAAGAAGAGGTTCAAAGGGAAAGCTCTATTGCAAGGTCCAAAAAATTATTACGGAACGGAAAAATCGAAGCGGTCAGAGGGAAGGGTATAAATTCATAGCTAATTCAATCAAAATACGATAATATTAATTTTTCTTATTAGCAGATGGCGTACTGCCAAAAGATTTCAGTCATGAAACGTGATGTGTTTCTGAATAACTTTGATCTCTGACAGAAGAAGCTGGAGGTGACATTACCATCGGTCATCTAGATACAGCAACGTTCAGCGCACGGCAGAATGTGAAAAAAAGATGTCAATACCAGCTGGACAATGGGATGGATGAGCAAGTGATCGTTAGTTAGGAAGAATGAGGTTTATGATCGAGTGGATGAGTGAATGTATGTGCCAGTGTGTAGTCAAAACAGCATGCAGGACGAGATGGATGAGCTTTTGTGGATCACCAGTATAGCTAAATGAGGTGAGCGAGAAAGCGGGTAGGCAGTATGACGGCATGAGGTAGATGAGCAAGTGGATTAACATTACAGCGGAATGAGTGGTACTGCAAATTGATTGCAAGTTTGTATTATCCACCAACTCTAGAATACAGATTGGTTAAATCTTATCAACACACGCAAGCCCGCAACAATACTTGTGCGCCAGATAGCACCGCACGTAAACAAAATGACTCAATTTGCGGACAATAATTCGTACAGCAATCATCCAGCATCTCTCAGTAGCCAAATAAAAGAAATTCACTAAATTAACCACAAAGTCGTACCTCGAAAGGGTTATAGTGGCCCCCGGTTGACTTGCAGCCCTCGGTGAGGTTGCCTGTCTGGTGGATATGGAACCCGTGGGGGCCGGGTGTCAGACCCGTGATGTGCCCCGTGATATGGGTCTTACCTATAGGTTGGCGAGTAGAAATTGGCGTTATTCATGTTTATGGATACAATATTACAGTAAAAGTTATCGTGCATAATCGTGGCTTCAAAGACAGCTTTGTTTTAGTGTATTCACATATCAGTATTGCACTGCTGTGGCTACAGTTACGCGCAGATTTATTGGCAACTTTCAACTCTAAATTTAAATATTGCACCTATGTCCAAGATACTGATGAAATATGAGTGTGCTTATATTAAAATTCTAGCCTGTTATCGTGTAAACTAATTTCTTACCTTAAAAATATATTATTCATTTAATATTTTCAGGTATATCTTATTTTGTAAATTGATTGTTGTTTTCCTCGTGCAAAATTAATGGCAACCTTTACATAAAATCAATTTAACTCATCATTGTTGATCAAGAATTCTAGGTTGATCTGAGGATGACTCTACAACATTCCAGAACATTAAAAAAGACTATGTGCCTATACTATAAACCTATACGCCAAGTTTGCGCTTGCTCAGTTAGTCGTTGGAAGCAGTCGTTTAAACACATCTCCAAGATTTTCTAAATTCAATTATGGCGAAGACTTCTGAATACTCACAGGACATAAGGAAGTGTGCAGTTGAACTACACAACAAAGGAAATGGATATCGAAAAATATCAACTCTGAATGTTCCAATTTCATCCGTAAGGAATATTATTGTCAAGTTCTGGAATGATGGGACCACTGCTAATCGAGCACGAACACGTCGAAATCGAAAATTAACCGAAAGAGATGTGCGTTCCTGCATGGAAATAGTACTAAATAAAGACCCGAAGATCACTTCCAAGGAATTGCAATCACATCTGGCTAGTACTGTGGATGTGTCAACAGTGCGATGCTACCTGAACCGCGAGAGCCTTCACGGGCGTGTAACAAGGATGAAGCCACTGTTGAAGCCAATTCACAAGGAGAAGCGTTTGGAGTTCGCCATGAAGCACATCGATGCCACTCAAGCAGAGCTCAATAATATATTGAGGTCGGACGAGACAAAGCTTGAACTTTTTGGTGTGAATGGCAACCGCTTTGTATGAAGGAAATCTGGTGATGCTCTGCTGGAAAAGAACACTCTACCAACTGTGAAGCATGGTAGTAGTAGTGGGTCCATCATGTTGTGGGGATGCTTTGCTGCTGCAGGTACTGGGAATATTTCCGTGATAGAGGGCATCATGAATTCTGAAGGACATCAACACATTTTAACTGATAATGTTAAGCTATCGGCAAGAAAACTGCATCTTGGAAGGGCATTTGTCTTTCAACAGGATAACGACCCTAAGCACACAAGCAAATCAACACAGAAATATTTTGCTTCACAGAAATTGAGTGTTGGAATGGCCTTCCCAAAGCCCAGATTTAAATACAACTGGAAAATTATGGAGGGAACTCAAGAGGCGTGTTCATAAAAGAAGACCCAGCAACATCGAAGAATTGAAGACTTTTGCCATGGACGCAGGGTGGCCACTACCACCACTACGCAGGGTGGCCCAGTGGTTAAAGTTCAGAGTACCAAGATTGGCGCAGAGAGGCGCGGGTTCGATCCCTGCTCTGTGTGCCAGTTTCTGGTCAGAATCGGCAAGGAGGCCGGGCGGTTAAGCATAGCAGAATTGTAGCAGTGAGTTGCGAGTTCGAGACCGCAAAATGCTGTGAATGTTCTGCGATGTTAAGAATCGGCGACAGGCCTACGGCCTAATAAACGCTGAAACCGCTATTATTATTTTTAAGAGTGGCGCAAGATTCGTACTAAAACATGTCAACACCTCGTAGGAACATACAAGAGGCATCTGTCTGCTATCATTGCTGCCAAGGGAGGTCACACAAAGTATTAATTTAAAGTTGCCAACAATTTATATGCCTTTTTCAAAATGTTGCCATTACTTTTGCTTTTGGTGTTTTTCTAAGAGATATAAATACAACAAAGATCTAACGTTTTACTATCCGTTATGCACAGTAATTAGATGCTCTTTGATCAATTTAACTGAAAATAAATGCAGAAATTGCAATAAATGCTTCAAATTATATTATTTCTCAAATTAAATATTTTTAAGCGTGTTGCCAATAAATATGCGCGTAACTGTATCTTGCGAGTGGGGATCAGAATTCTGTGCATGGGTAAAAAAATAGGGATCCGAAATGTGGAGTTCCGGATTCTGTAGCGCCACAAGGAAAACTTTGAACATACGTGTGTAGAGCGGACAAGCAAAAATTGCTTTGAATTTTGGTTCAGAATAGTAGTTTTATGTGTGGAAAGGGGGTAAAGGGTTTTTGAAAAGCAGGAACCTAGGGTTTTGAATGAAAAAAGAAAAGGTTAGTAGCGAAAATAAGAAACTCGGGAGATTTAAGTGGAAAAAAGTAGTAGAATATGGTAAGTGCGAGAGAAGGGAAGAGGAATGGGATGGCACTCACCAACAGGTGGTTGGTCCTGACGAAGTTTTAAGAATCCGCGGATGCTTCCCATAAGAAGGACGCTTGCTTCTTTTGGGCTGTTGCTCTCCTGAAGAGGAGGAAGGAAGAATTTTTATGAAATGATTGGTTTAAGGAAACTTATTTCTCGACATAATATTTGCTCTGTGGTGGTGAAAATTTTGTTATTTTATATTATCGATTTCTTATAGAATGGAGCTTGCATCTAATGGAGCATCTACACCCATTAAAGCCGCTTCGCCAGTTTACTTGCCACAAATGAAAAATTAAATTTCTCGTAAACTTTGAATGCGGTGGTTTGAAAGGGAGTCTCATGGTAACGAAACGAGTACTGAACATGTTCAGAACAAGCCATGGCACAGCGGTATGTTGTGCTTTATGCCTGCTCAGTTGGCCTTGGAATTTGTTTATGTGGGTAATGGCGCTACTATACGTCAAAAAAATAAGTCTGTATCACTTATTTATTAATATTTTATAATTAATATAATATTTAATATCACTTAATTATGTCTGTTAGCTACAACTAACTACTACCGTAAAATGAATAGTGTTCGTGAACAAATGTTCTAATGAAATATGCATGCATTTTTGTGATTCTAATATCATTAAGACCACTTTAATGTGACACAAATATATGTGACTAGTGTACTTGCCCCCCGGATATAAAATTATGGAATCGCTATTTTTTCGACATATCACTTAAAAATTGGTAGCAATTCCATATCCCTCTTATCTCAGATTGTCACGTGACGAAATTCATGCTTTCTACCCATGGAAAAACGACGTAGACCATCAAAATGAAGTAAGGGTAGCGATAGAACCCCCAGAAGAAAAGCTGGAAGCTACAACAGATCATGACAGTGATGCATCTGACGATGAAGTTATGTGCGATTCAGACCATCTTCCTATGAGAATTTTGCTCGCTATAATGTTCAGCCTGGGATGATTCTGTTGACGATGAGCTTGAAATCGCACCCAACCCAACCTCAAAATCAACTTGCCGTGGATTGCATATATTAATGGAATAATAATAACTCTTCGTGCAGCGAGTTACTCACATTGTCAGATGGGTAGAGCACCAGCTGGATGATGTCAGACGTACTTCGGAGGCCTTCCTTCAGAATCTAGTCGATATTTAATTTATCAGTGACATCATTTAATGGAAGCATTGGTTAGAAGTATAGTTAATAATTGCCTAGGTATTAGTGCGGTGTATAATTTTTCGCGGAAAATGTAGTTTATATTTTGCTGAATTGCTGCTGTAAATCGAAAAGTCTGAACGAAAATTGTCTTTCGTTAAAAAAAATCCTGATACTAAGAACTAAATTCATTTTAGAAGCGACTAGACAATGTTACACTTTATTATTAGGTATACTAGATGTACCTCCCATCTATCAGACACGGTTAGTGTATAATATTTTTTAGTCAAGTCAGATCTTGAAAGATCTGATAAAAAAAACAGTTTTAGACCTTGAAACTAGTCACGAACACTACAAGGAGCTGTGATAGGCTTAACTTGGCCTAACCTTCTACTTAAGCTGATATGAATATAATATTCTATTGTGAAGTATAGTGCAGCACATACACTATACTGCTATATCTACTAGGACAACTAGGTTATGAGACATGCATGCATTTCCTTTTCAATATAGTTAATAATTTGAAGAATTGAAGAATTTTCGCGTAGTGTAACATGATGGTATTTTCGACTGCTTCAGGGGCACATAATCATGCTTAAGAAAAGGCATTGCGACATAGAAAAACGTTTTAAATGTATTTATCTCTCAGAGAAATTAGTGAGACTGGTCCAAATAGCGATGTATGTTTTGTTCCTAGTTGTGGGGGTCATCTGGACTCAGTTTGGCCCGACTAATTGGTACCTGCGTCGTACCGCTGGCAGTGTTGATGTAGAGGTGCGACGGGGATTGGTTGTTTACGTAGACAGTTTGTGGGGCGGCATAGCAGGCCACCACCAACAACGAAAATGACAGAAACGTCCTGAAAAAAAAAACAATATTTTGAACACGAAAACTTAAAAAATCATAACCAAATCGAGACGAATAATAAATTCGGATTTCAACAGGCGCAAAATTTATTGAAAAATCAGTGTTTTTAAGTTTATGTACACTGTTCGAAATGGGACTGACTGGCGTTCTAGTGGCCTGTGAAAATAAACGGCTTCTCCTTTTATTCGAATGTGATACGGTTTTACTGCGTTGAATTGAAAGAAAAGGCAAAATTGTATTTTATCTGACGTATCGGCCGGCCACTGAAATGCCGGTCAGACCGTTTTAAGATATTTTCTTCTAACAGCGTATACGCTGTTAAAATTTTATACTGGACTTGGAACCTAAAGGTTTCAAGTCCAGTATCAAACTTTTATTTTAAACGCAGTTCAGTATGACCACAATTTATTCAATACGCAGACCGTTGCCTGCGATTTTAAGCGAAAATCTCAGAATTTATGCCATAATTTCCGTCTACCATCAACTTCCATGTCTCCGATAGTTTAGTTTAGAATAATTTGAGAATTATTCTAAACTAAACTAATAATTTGGACGTTTTCCGAATAACAATGCACTTTTTGCCCTCGTGCGAGTCAACTTGACCCAGCATGACCCAGTAAACGGGCGCCTCAGTGCTAAACCCGTTCTCGTCCGTGCTATGATTAAGAAATTTTGTCACATTTGATCAATGTGACCCATTCATTGTTTTTAGTGTTCGCTGCGCAATGCCGGCGCTAGTGACTTTTGCAATACGAGGGAAAGTCGAGGCGGCGGCTATACAGAGGCTTGTCACGAGAAAACCTTGGCAAGAAATTCTTTAAAAAAATCTGCAATGTGCACTCGGTGAAACGCCCCCCCCCTATTACAGGGCTGCACTGCATCGTTAGCTAATGTTACCTGTAATTTTATGCATATGTACTTATGTGGAGATGTGTGTGGTGTATTGATGTGTGTGGTGTACTGATGTGTGTGGAGTACTGATGTGTGTGGTGTACTGATGTGTGTAGTGTATTAAGATGTGTGGTAATTTAAGTCTAAGCTTCCTATCACAGGAATAACTACAAAGGTAGTTATTGACGTGTCATGTCAATAACTGTTGGACACAATTAAGTCGAACGTTGACGTGTAATGAGCTTGAGTGTGGCACACGTATCCGTGACACGCACGCGTGTTGTCCTCGACTCAACCGCGCAATTAGTTCTTCGTTCGCCACGCATCAATGCTAACAGGACATTTCCGAGCGCAAGAATTTAAATAAATAATTTTGCTACACACATATTGACATCCTCAGGTCCTTATGCATGATTGATGGATCATTACCCATTGAATATGTTCAGGGTTAGTTTGTTTGGTCTTCGTGTATATTGTTGAATATACAAGCGTGTCATTTGGCTGTTGTAGTATTGCAGCGTTATTGCAAGGTTACCACGTATAAAGCGCAGTACAAACAGTGTATACTGCAAACTGCAATCAACACGTATAGTGTCTTGTAATTATTAATTATTACATTATCTAAGAATTAATTAATTTAATTATCTAAGAAAGTTACATAATATATAATCATGCATGATTTTACTGCGGCGTACAACAAATGTGTAGTAGAATATACTGTTTGTATATGTATAGTGCAGTATGAAAAACATCGTTGAATGCTTGAGTAATCCACACAAGATATGTTGTGCATGTACATCCTGTTTCTACACTGCAGCACACAAAGCATCCTGTGCAAAGAAGAGCAGTGTGCTGTACTGCAGTGTACTGTACTGCGGAGAACTATACTGCTGCACGTTGCATTACACAGCAGTGTGCTACGTGTGCATATAATATTTATTTAAAAACATAGCCAATATATCAAAATAATGGCTGTGATATTTATATTAACATAAACAACGCATCAAAATATTGCCTAAGTTAGCACAAATAACGTCCGCACACTAAGACCGTAGGCTAAATACCTTCCCCCTAAGCACAGCTGATCGCTGGCGCTTATATACGATAAGCTACAAATATGCCTGATTTCAATCTTAAGTTCACATTTTTATGATCATGTTTAAAATTTTCAAAGTATTAGCAATATAATTCAACAGAAAAATAAAGTAAAATTATTTTATTTCCAACTTGTAATATTCTAAATTCCAATAATCACCAAAAATTCAACCGTCGGTCTTCAATTACGTACCAATTAGCAAGCATCACCTTCCAACAATCACTATTATATACACCATTAGTCTTCCAGCATCACCTTCCAACAATCACTTACATACACCATCAGTTTCCCAGCACTATACCTTCCAGCAATCACCATTCAACTATCAACAAACAAGCACAACATTATCGGTCATCACCATCCTGCCAGCACAACATATATATCTACCCGCTTTTGGTCTTCATTAATTAGTACGTAAGAATTTCCTGAAAAATTAAAAAAAAAAAAACTACGCAGTTCCTCAGCTGCCCAAACACTGCCTACCGCCGTAGGTGAATTTTTTATTTTCCATTTGATTTTACTTTATTTTTATTGAGTTCGGAGAACTCAAGGTGATTGTATGACTCGCAACTTATCCATCCTGTGTAAATGAAAGGCGAATGGTTACGTAAGCGATCGGTAGCGAGGACGGTAACTAATGTTGACATATTACTGCTTAAAGGTAAGAAAATTATATAAAAATTATATATAAAACTGATGAGAGATAATACACACATGTGAAGATTTTCATAGACGGAGATATTTTCGTCTAGTTTTTATGAAGTTGTTCATCGTGAAAATGCAGATCGATGCTGACTCATCGAACTTTGAGTAAACTTTGCGCTACAAATACGGATACAATTGGTGCAATTTTAAATCTATAAAACTGAAGAAATATTGTGTATGAAATACTAAACAAAGTCAAACGCGTGGCTTTGCCTTCTTGCTTTAGAAATCAACGTAACAAATTAGTGGTATGTTATCTGCCATTAACAAAATTAACAAAAATTAATATTTCCGTTAATTTCGTTGCCAATGCTCAAAGGTAAATCATGAAGTAACACAAAATTAATCAAAGTAAATAGACACTTGTATACGTAGTTAGAATTACATCAGTTCTTCATACAGATATAAATATATTCAGTACGTATATAGTAGATCTAATCTCCTACCCACACTAGTACCAAATTCTAACAACCTTCAGGAGTATTAGGTATTTAATGAATTAGGAGAATTAGGTCATAAAAAAGGGACAAAATCAAGTTTGTTGGCAAAATGGGTAAAAAAAGGCGCGACGACGCCTAATTGGAGCTTTTGCGAAACTTTGACGTTTATCGAAGGCAGTAAAAGTTTTGAGTGGATTTTACACTTCGAAGTACCTACGTAAAATACTTCTTTTTTCTAGTAAGAAAATGAGTGACAGCTTCCATGGTCTCTGATTGGCTGGGGTGAGCTAAGTTTTGGAATAAAGTTGGAAGTGTAACCCTAACGAAAACTAATTTTGCCTTACATGATAAAAATCTTTTTAGGTAATAATATAATTTAATATCAGTAAATTTGTGGTATATTGGTTGAATGTGACCATTAAATTCAAGGAACCTACACCTTCATGTTTCAACACGGCTAATTACGATCTTTCAACGCGATAAATTCCGAGGTTTCAACGAAATAAAAAGTTCATATAGGTTCTTGCTATGATATAATTCATCTCTGGGAATTTTGTTCACAATATCCATCGATATTTTGCAGAATACTTGGCACATAACCTCACATCATGATCAGTTAAAAATACAAGGAGAATTAAAGTTCAGAATTTGGGGTGAATTAAACATCGAACGTATACCGCATTTTCTTCCTTTCTTTGTTAAAAATCTTCAGAATTTGACACAACCTAAGGCTTAAATATGCCTGGAAATTCACATTAACAACACGACCAAATAACAAGGCACGTTGGCAGGTATCAATTTCTCACCTCATCTTACGACTACCTTTCTTCGCCGCTTGCTACGGCAGAGTGATGGTCCGCAAGTGCGAATAGCCCTTTTATATAAGCGATGTCACATGACGTTGCTTATGTTCTGGTAATCGGTAACCCGCTGCAAGTTATTAACTTTTTAAGCATGCGAAGTCTCCTTTTTGAGTTATTTAGACGAGTTAGATTTCATACGATCGTTCAGGAACCTAACTAAAGATTGACTGCACATGCAATAGTGTCCACAGGCAATGTATAGAGACCAGCAGTACAGCTTGTAACTCATGAAATGTGATTTTAATGTTATTTCAAAGCTATCTAGAATGGCAGAAGAATACAATCTCTGAATTTCTGAAAGAGCTTTCTTCATCGGTTACGGAACCAATATTACGTTTTGATATTAATAAACTTTCACATCTCTATATAATTAAAGTCGAAAATCTTCTGCATTCATTCTCGACTTTTTTTCTCGAACTTTCACTTCAGCAATTAAAGTCTTGAATCATTCACATTCGTCGTGGCATTTACCTACAGACCCGTGCATCTTCCCGAAAAATTAACTCCTTTTAATGTCGACAGTTTAGTTCAAGTTTGGTCGAGCAAACCGGTTACGACTTGGAAGCACTTCTACACTCAGAAAAAAAAAACGAACAGAGACCGCAGACCTTCGATCGTATCGCCACCGATAGTTCGTAGGAATAGAATAGAAGCAAATGCGTCTTATTCTCCGAATAGGAACGCCCTTTCTACACTAAGCCCACACCCTATCGCCGGTCCAAACTCCGTCAGGATGACCAAGGTAAGGACAAAAATTAAGTGCATCGCTATCGGACGAGTCTCTTATTTTATTATTATTACCACACTTCTATTTAACCCTCTACCAACGGACATGAGTAACCGGGCAATATTGTCTCACAAGCCTACCGAAAAAGAATACGTATATAGCTAGTGAACGCAAAATGACTTGGACTGATGGTTACCACCACGTATAATTTTAAATGCTCTCTGTTGCGTACAAACGTCCTCAGGTTGCAACACTAAATAGTTTACGTATAATTTAAGTTGAAAGTTATGTTCCCGGAAAGTGATATACGGCGGTAGAGGGTTAACTTCACTTCTTGTTGTTTGTCTGTCTTCCACAAATCTTATAATCGATATTTAACACACTTTTACCTGTCCAAAAGATCTGAAATTTTGCACACTTGCCTCAAGCCGACCACAAGCATGAATCAATTGATAGAATAAAAAATCTAAATAATGAAAAAATTAGAAATTAAAAATAAATAAGAAGTTCATTCTACATGTGTAACATCGGAGACACCGGCCTCTTTGGAAGTGTAGTCTTCAAAAAGTAATTTTTCTGACAGAGATCAGGCTGGTGGGCGCATTTGTCGCCACAAGTCACCCAACTATGAAAAAAAGTAATTTTTAAACGCATATTATTTCTAAGCGCACATGTAAATTTTATTTTCCCAATGAGGAAGGGAGGTAATAACCAACGAAGTCGATATTATTCATTGTTATCCCATTTGAATTTATCTCATTCTTCCAAGTTATCTCATTCAAAGTTATCTCATCCAAAGTAATCCCATCCAAAGTTATCTCATCCAAAGTTATCTCATCCAAAGTTATCCCATCCAAAGTTATCTCATCCAAAGGTAAGTCATCCAAAGTTATCTCAACATCTGTCATTCTGCTTCCGTTTTGTTGTCGGACTGGCAGAATTCTAATCCAAACATATTTACATTGAGATTTCAGTCATGTTGAAACCATTTTCAACATGATTGAAAACATTGCTGAAAATTTCAGTCATGTTGAAACCATTTCTTTTAGGAGGTTATGGAATTTGAAGCTCAAAGTAAACCAATCACACCACATCCAACTCTGCCGCCAGCGTTGCCGGTGGTCTTGCTGGTCTTGTGTTGCCCACGTCCCAGGTCGTCCCTCTGCTCGTGGACGACAAAGGCTCGTCCCACGACGCTGTAGGGTCCCGCTAGCGTCACCATGTGGTCCTTGATGTCCACCGCCGCCACTCCCGACGCGTTCGCCCTGATGTTGCCCAAGTCACCGACGTGGCGGACGGGGTCTTGAGGACCTCCGTGGTCAAGCTGGGACGAGGAAAGGCGTTCAAGTGATGCTATATAAATGAGTATAACTCAGTACTCACTGCAGTGAGTGACATTTTCTCGTCGACGAAAACTTGAGGTCACGGACGGACGGACGGACAGACAGACAGACGGACATGGCGAGCACAATAGTGCATTTTTACCATAAATGAGAAAATGCGCTAAAAAATCAGAAACTCCTGTAGGAATTATTTATCGAATAATGCGCAATTATTTTTTTTATTCGTCAAATAGATAAGTTAAACATATATGATTGTTTTTTGTTATCCTAATATCCACATAGAAAACTCTCGTCTTCCGAGAGGGGTAACTGTGCTATTTTTAGCGTATTTCTCATTTATGGGAAAAAAGCGCTATTGTGCTCGTCATGTCCGTCAGTCTGTCTGTCTGTCTGTCCGTGACTTCACGGACGGGCGGACGATAAAATGAGCTCTCTGTCACTTACTGCAGTGAGCACTGATCTAATTTTATTACAACACTTCTTTTTAACTTCCCTTTTTTTTGTTTGTCTGCCTGCCACAAATCTTATAATCAATATTTAACACGTCCAATCGATCTGAAATTTTGCACACTTGCGCAAAGTCGAAGACAATGCATGCATCAATCGACAGAATATTAAATTTTGAAAATTAAATAATATATATTTTTTTAATTTGAAAAAATAATTTTATCTTATACAAATCTTATAGTCGATATTCAACACACTTCTTCCTGTGCAATCGCTGAAGTTTTGCACACTTGACTTAATTCGGAGACAATGCATGAATCAATTGACACAATAAATAATTTTTGAAATTTAATTTTTTTCATATATTAAAATTAAAAAAATTAAAAATTAATTTTTTTTAATATATGGTAGTAAAATTAGAAATTCATTGTAGATATGTAACATCGGAGACGCTCTATCCTTTAGTAGTGTTGTCTTTAAAAAGTAATTTTTTAACGCATATTATTTTATAGTAAGTTGGCAATTTTTCTCGTACAGTTAATTGGTAGCTGTTTTTGTGCAGTTGGTTGGTAGCTATCTACGCAACAGTTTCAATTTTCTGTGACAATTTTATTATATTGTGATTGAAAGTCGGTCACGTTAAAACATCGTCATTTTAAGAAAAAAAACGTTAAACAATTTTGACTCACAGATAATATTACGATCGAAATGTGACTGAGCCCCTAAATCCTTTCTCTCAAGCCCAACAAGTACACCTACACGTCCTAAAACGATCGAATAAAATAAGTTTTTCATTCCGATTAATTATAAAATACTTGACTTTTATCTTATATAGGCGGTTACCAAGAACATTTGATGGTCATTTTTAAACATATTGTTTTAGTTTTTTTAGGTTATTTGAATACATAATTATCATCTCACCCCAAACGGGTTGTAGTGGCCACCCGTCTCCACGCACCCGTTAGACACGTCACCCTTCTCGTGCACGTGTAACCCGTGACGGCCCGGGCTGAGACCCGAGATGGAACCCGTGATATGGGTTATACCTGCGGGGTATGGAGGAAGAGTGAGACCCGTGACAGAACCCGTAATATGGGTTATGCCTGCGGGTGCGGGGGAAGAGTGAGACCCGTGACAGAACCTGTGATATGGGTTATACCTGCGGGTGCGGGGGAAGAGTGAGACCCGTGACAGAACCCGTGAAGTTATACCTGCGGGTGTGGGGGAAGAGTGAGACCCGAGATGGAACCCGTGATATGGGTTATACCTGCGGGTGTGGGGTAAGAGTGACCCGTGATATGAGCCATCCATCCCTACGTTGTTGGGTAGGAGGGAGAAATGCCGGAAGTATTCTTATATTAAGATTCGATATGTCCAATCGTCATTCAATCATTCAATTATTTTGAATCACAAATTTTAAATTGAAATACTTTACATTCTCATGAAAGATATATTATCGTTTGAAGTTATTTAAAACGAGAAATAGTTAAATTTATAGTTTTTATTTCTATTCTCTGTTCATTCGCTAGCGCGTATAATGTCAATCTACCATCGATTCTTCTATTGAAGTCATTTTTTGTGTAAATGTGTCGGAGCGATTTAATTTATATCAAATTTTCATGTTCCCCTCTCGGCGGTTGGGAAAACAAGAATCCAGTATAGGGGAATCCAAGAGTCTCCCCTGGATAGGGATGGGGCATTCACCTGCAAGGGATCTCATCAGTTACCTCGGATCGTGGGCGGATCGTGGGGGGGCTGTTCACCTGTGGGGGGCTGTTCACCTGCGGGAGGCTGTTCCTGCCGAAGCTTCAAAGTCCCCGTGACATTGGGCCCCGAGATAATGACCGTGGCCTCCCTAGGGCTGTCGACCCCCGACGGGGAGCCTGGAGGGCTGTCGGACTCTGACGGAGGACGTGTAGTGGCATCGACCACTGACGGAGGACTTGTAGTGCCGTCAGCCGCAGACGGGGAGTCTGGGGGGCTGTCATCCCCAGACGGTGAGTCTGTGGGGCTGTCAGCCCCAGACGGTGAGTCTGCGGGGCTGTCAGCCGCAGAGCCTGGGGAGCTGTCAGCCTCTGATTGGGGGCCTGGGGGGCCGTCGGCACCTGACGCGGAGCTTAGCGGGCTGTCCTCTGCTTGACGAAAACGTTCTTGGTTGGTCGTCTGGCTGGCGCGTATTGCAGCCTAAAAAGTAATATTGACAAACAAATAATCGTAATGATGAGAGTAATTAATTAAATGAAACAACTAATTCAAGTGGTGCTCAAGTACATCACGCGGTGCCAAATTGGGGATCGAGCCGACCAAAGAAGGTCACCTCTGAAGGCGAAATCCCCAGAATAGCAGCGTATAATACGTGCGAAACGGCGTGGAGAACGCAGAAACGTTTTCAGGTGTTGTGCTCTCTCTACGTTTTCAGACGTAGAGAGAGCGTTTTCAAACGTTCTAACTCTCTCCACGTTTCCGGGTGTTGTGGGAGTCCGCTGACCTCCAGACCCTCTTGCGTTCACACTTCCACTTACCCTAAATGTGTTTACCCTCGTAATTAATGATTTCCGATCAGGAACCCCACCTGAAGGACGAATACGGAACCTAGTACGGAATGCACATTGAGTAGCAATGATGGAACGGCCATTAGAAAAGTACGCCTCGACAGCAAACGCACGCTGCTCACTTGTCCAATGCATAATGACAACTGACTAGGCGGTAAACAAAACTTCATGGGCTTGCCTTTCATTTGAAATACTTTTCGTCGTTTCCCTACAACATCTGGCTGCTGGGCGCGAAATACAAAACAGGAAGTTTCGGTGTACCACCCTGTATATACATACATACATGAATCATCAGAACTGGTTTCTAAAAGCAGTGTCGTTCGCCGCAAGTTTATTTTATACCAAATTAACAGGCAAGGTTGTCATTTCTCAAAATATTTGTTTTTCGAAGACGTTTCTATCACACTTTTGACGGGTTTTTTTACTTATATAATAAATAGTTTAATTAGTGTTAGCTATAATTGAAAAACAATTAATAAGAATAAGTTAATTGAATGCGTCCACTATTCAGAAAATAAATGGGCCTTTGTGTCCGAAGACAGACAAAATTTTTGTCGGTGACATTTATACGTACTTTTTTCACGCCAAACTAGCCCAGAATGACCCACGCCAGGATCAAAGTAACATCGTTATTTGGACAAAGTCCCACTCATTTCTTTGAGTTGACATATAATAACTTACTGCGGTGGCCGGGTGTAGCAGACGGATGCCGTTATCAGTTGGTGGTGAGCCGAAGAGCAGAAACTGAAGAATAAACGAATAAAAAATAAAAATAAAAAGAAAACCCAGAGTAATGTGTAGGTCAAATTGTTCAAATAGAGACACACTTCTATACCCACAAAACTAGCCCAGAATGACCCACGCCAGGAACAAAGTAACATCGTTATTTGGACAAAGTCCCACACATTTCTTTGAGTTTATATATAACTTACTGCAGTGGCCGGGTGTAGCAGACGGATGCCGCTATCAGTTGGTGGTGGGCCGAAGAGCAGAAACTGCAAAATAAACGAATAAAAAAGAAAATAAAAAGAAAACCCAGAGTAATGTGTAGGTCAAATTGTTCAAATAGAGACACACTTCTATACCCACAGAACAAGCAGTGAGCAGAAATAGCACTGATTTGCGCTTCTGAGGGGTCACATTAAGAATGGATGGCCCAAACTAATCAAAAAATTTATCGCCATTCGGACATAGTATCACTCAGTTCTCTGGGTGTCTAATCAAATAATTCATTATTATAATTATTATCAAATAATAATTATTATAATTATCCAATCATAATCATGGAGATGTCGAACATTACAAGAGATTTTAATACTGCACGAAAAAAATAATAATATATAATAAGTTGTTCGCAATTGGTTCAATGTCTTCATTAACTGCTTATTCTTCTTAAATTAACTTTTCCCTTCTAAAGAATGAATATTCAATGCAAAAATTTTATTCTCAAATGCAAAATGCTAAAATAGTTATATTATTATGTTATTTATTATATTATATAATATAGTATATTATTATATTATAATATTTAATACAAAACGATCATACTATCATTTTTAATGCAGACTTCGATTGCAACATACATTCCCTCTTCCCATCCAATGCACGACAGCGACTTTAACTTCTCTCTTTAGATCAGAACTTTCTTACATCATGCCTTTCTATTCTAAATCGTCTCTTGCTAAATACAATTCTTTCCGCCTTATAGTTGTGATATTAGTGATAGTATTTCTATATATTACAGTTAAACTATAAGTGCGCATGTCTGTATTGCTAATAAATAATTCTTATATGTATTACTGCTGACCTGAGGTACGCCCCCAGCGGTCGTGAAGAAGAGCTGTGGTGGTGGTTGACTGCTGAGAACCACAGCCTGCAGCGGCGAAGACTGCGGGGCGGCGCCCCAGGAAAGCAGCAGAAGCAACAAAAGGCGCCTGTAAAAACAGCCGTTAGAATGGAAATAAGATAAAGATCTCCGCCTCCAGTATGATTAAGAAGCAATGTATATTAGAGTGTTTATACTAAGTTATAAGATGATTGTAGTTTATTTTAATTTATGATCGAATCGATGGTATTTAGCGTAGAATTCATTTATTCCTTTACACTTATACATTAAATTCAAGCTGTTTACCTTGATTTCCGAGCTATTACTATAATTTTTTGGAGTTCAAATCGCCAAAGATCGTTTCTTAATGAATTGAACTAATGTAAGTAAGACATGTAATGTTTCGAACCTGGCGCGCAGAAGCAGGTTCTCCGTTTGCAAATTTTGGACGCAACGACTTGCGAAATCTCGTGAACTTACATGGTTTTCTGTCATAGAAGACAGAAGAATAAACATCAGTTCTTATGAGACCGTAGTTGCATGAATAAATTAATTACTTACACTGACGTTCACAAAATAGAAAAAAAATTAATCGGAATAATTGAATTAATTTTTTACTGACAGTTGTGATACAAATACATACAAATCCAACATGACGTTGTAACTTGGCAGCGGTGCAACGAATTATCTTCTTATTGCTAGAGCAGAACCACATTTGCGTCTTTTGCATCTCGTAGTTTTCTTCACAAAGTAATTCAGACTTCAGAAAGACTACCTCTCAACCTTCGGTTATGTGGCAATACACATAAGATCTGCATATAATTTAAAATCTTGATGAAAGATTTTAAATTGAATCAATTCAAAAATCAATTGACATGAATCAATTGACAGAATAAATAATTTGGAAAACAATTTTTATATATTAAAAAAATTGAAAAATATATTTATTTAATATTCAAAAATAAAATGAGAAATTCATTGTACATCTGTAACATTGGAGACACTGGATTCTTTAGAAGTGTTGTCTTTAAAAATTAATTTTTAAACGCGGCGCATCAAGCGACGGAAATCGAAACATGAACTAACAGGTGGACATGATATTAGTGATGGAGGGAGGGTATAAGATGCACGAAAGTATTAATTGAGCAGAAACAATATTTGAATAAAATAAAATGTTGAGCTAGATAATAACAATGTTTTCGTGGGACACAATGGACCAAAGATCTCACCTCATCCCTGATGTAGTCTCACAGGTAATGCAGCTGTAGCAGTCAGACCAGTTCCTTTAGTAGCCGTCAGAAGATGGGTGCTGGTTTGTCTTGCCCACTGTACCGAGAACCGCTATAAGAATAATGATTTGTCTGTGTTGGTACAACGTTGATGAGCCGAGTTTTTTTTAAATAATATTTAGGGCGTCGCTCCTTGTAAACCTCAGCTACAAATAGCTGCATGCCTGCGCGCTCGGTTCAAAATTATAGGTCTCTGAATGCGCATTGAGAAAAATTACATATGCAAAAACCAATTTCTTTCAATGATGTCAATGAAATAATGTCAAAAATATGAAACATCTACGGTTTTTTAAATTGGATTTTCAGTCAGCGCCTGGTTTTTTTTCCTCTTAAAATTGAGATTTTTCTTATTTGATTTCAATTAAAGCCTCTTTATGAATTATTTTGGTGTTAAAAAAAATTGTGGTCATATGTATTTATGTTTTCCTTTGAAAGGTATTTCTATCATGAGCGGACAAGCAGAAAACTGTAAGTTTTTATATTAGACGGCGACGTAATTTTTCCAGTATTTTCTGTAAAAAATTTCTATATTACTGCTTGCAAACACAGTCCAGTACGCTTGTTGACACGATTCTCGTTAAAGAAAAACATTAAAGAAATTTTCATTTGCGATTTGAAGTGAAATATGAGATGCTTTCAGCTCAGTTGTTTATTTCGAATTAGCAGTCACACACGCAATAATTTAGAACGGGGCTTTCATTGCTGAGTTACTATAATTATTATTCTACGTAGCAGTTATCCTGGTGTTTGGTTCAAACGAACTTCGACGGCACGTTACACATACTATAAGTTTGATAGCAAGCGAAAAATAAATAGACACGAAAAAGGATGAGAACGGATATAAATGACTAAGCACTCGATTCGTCACTGATTGATTTTAAATATGAGTTGAGAAGAGTTATCGCAGTGATCCACTTGCGTGATTAAAATGGGACTAGATTAATCTATAGTTCCATCACCAGCATCACAAATGTTTGTGATGGCAGGCTGTACAATGTGAATTTATATGTCCATTCTATGATTTTACGCCTCACTGGTTTCATTCTTTACATTCTATTACGGGTATTGTAAGCGTGTTTACATTGAGAAAAATTTGTGCGTCCAATTTTCATCCTATCTAAGTTCTCTCTATTTTTTAATTCCAGAAGAAATGTGATTATTATTATTTAATCGGATTACAAAAGATGCATCAATTTCGATTATATTGACCGGAAGTTTGCCAGAACCTCCTCCACTTCCAGGAAGATGAAAATAATAATTTGGAATTAGACACCCTTCGTCTGGAAACTAGAAAACCTTTAAATTGGAACTCGTCGTCATCCCTTTAAATATGCTAGCATAAATTAAAGTTTAAATCGCGTAGGAGCTCATGAAAGAAATGCATCATAGAAGTTCTCGAATCTTTACTAAGTGATGGTGACAGGCATATTATCTTATTATTATTATTACAATATTATATATTCATAAGGATATTATCAGTTCACTGCAGTTGTGGTGTCTGAAGCCAGAACCCTATTCTACGGCTCTTCAATTTCTTAATTCAAAATCCCTTGGACTTTTTTTCACATCCTCCCTTGACTCTAATTCAACTTTCAACGGCCGAAATTCGAGAGAATTTTCATCAGTGGAATTCAACTTAACCTCTCCAAGCGGCAAGCTTCCTGGAACATCATCGCCTATAGAACTGTTATCATTAGTTATAGGTATAACTGCAGTAACATTGACAATCCGTTGAGTATCATTGCTGAACTGACCGCTTGGATCAGCAATAACGGTAGCATTGGTGGCGCTAGAGACATTACTTGAAGCATTAACAGAATTATCATCGGTCTCTTCTTGCAGAAGATTTGCATCCTGATAATCCTGCGAATATTCGTCGTATTGATCTGGCCAGTCGTCTTCTCTGAAACTCGGAAATCGTCGCTGGGGAGTGCCGTAGTTTCCGGAAACGATGTCCGGATCCGTGTACCAAGCCGGAATGGCGTCGTCGTCATCGGTGTTGCCACTTGCCGAGGCTTTTCTATCGGCTTTAACGCCATTTACGGTGTCGGTTGCCCGATTTTCTTCCAAAGCTTGGAAACGAAGTAGAGGCCTTAAAGCTTCGGTGCATGCGTGGGGTAGCCTAACTTCGGTTAGGGACTTTGGATTGAAATCCCGTAAAGTGAGACTTTGACTTGGAATCTCAGGAGGCGGTCTGGAACTTAGAGTTTTTTCAATATTGAAGCTCAGATCGCTTAAAACTTGCAACTGATTTCTCGCGTACCCGTAAAGATCTTTCGCTGAAGTCAGCAACTGATCTACTAAATCCTTCCTGTCGCCGAGAGCTGTCCAAGTGGTAGAAATCAGGTTGTTCTGAACCTGAGCAACTCTTCCTGCAACAGCCCCTAGTCTGTCAGAAGTGGAGTTGACACCTCTGACAACCTGGATCCAGGCTTCCATCAAGGTGTTGTCCATATTAGGACTGACGCGAGTGAGGTGGTAGCCGTAAGGACTTGTTACCATGGATGTGTTTTGGCTGCCCATTTTGTGAACAAGTTGCCGAAGCTCGCCCAGCTGCTCCCTGTTGTATTGCTGCCTGGAAATTCAATATAAGGATCTGAGCTTTGATATTGACGATGGTTAATAGTATTGATGCCAATCTTTGAATTAAACTTTCACTATACGATCACCTTTACGCTGAGGCTACTAACCAAGTGGAAGTGATATTTTTGAACGAAATAAATGTTTACATGAGTAATATTTTTCTAAAAAATTGTGTCAATAAATTAATCTCATATTTTTTGGTCATGCCATAAATTATGCAGATAGGAGGTTTCTGACCTCATCACATGATGAGGTCAGATGAGGTGATGAGGTTTCCCCATGTCGCCTCAAGAACAATTTTGACTAAGTAAATATTAACATTTTACAGATTCATAATCCCTTCTCTTCCCCTTCCCCGCCGATTGCATGAGCACCATCACTACTGGGTTAGCGGAGCCATAGTAATTAGAACGTTGAAAAAATTTAAGATATTCTATATTGAGTGTTTACGAAAGAAGTAAAGATAGTTCAGGCTCTTGTTAAAGTGGGTGCCCCGCTGTTATAATAATAAGAAAATAACGACAGCGTTAAATAATATCGGCGCTTGATAAGCCATGTTGTCCTGTCGCCGATTCTTGACCAACCGGTCACCTCGCCGATATAGACTAAAATTTCTCAACTAGTTTCGGGTCTCGAACCCCTCCCTAGCTAGGTGCTAAAATCTTGGTAATCTTAACCAGTCGGTCATCCCGTCGAGCACTAGTAGTGGTTGGGGAAGCACTAGTATATCCTCACCCTAGTTCGATGATAGTGACGATCCGATCGAGGATGTCGGCGATTTTGGCCGCAACTACTCACCCTAGTTCGATGCTAGTGACGATCTTGTCGAGGATGTCGGCGATTTTGGCCTCGACGAGCGGTTCCTCGTCCTGTATGCGGTGGCAGGACGCGATGAAAACATTTTGTGCGTGCAGGATCGACGTGTAGGAGTTCTCAACCAGATTCTCCAGCTCCTGCAGCTCCGAAGCCAGCGACTGTCCTGTAATTCAGAGATGTCCGTTTCTTCGTTCAAATTGATTGAAAAATTTTATTTGCATCATCATTTGATGAGAAAAAGTTTTCAGCATCATTTGAATGGAGTATATTAAGAAATATTTAATGAAATTAGAGTTAGAAAAATCATCGATAATTTGATGAAAGTACATATAAGGGGTGTTGGACGTGCCATTGTCGGGGTCTGAGTTGATAAGACCAAGCAGCGCAGCGAAGCGTCGGTGCAGCAGCTGCAGCTGGTCTAGCCCCTCCGTGGTCTGCTGGCGGATAGACCGACGCAGGTCTTCGCTTGCAGACAATACAGACCGCAGCAGCACCTTCACCTGCACGTTTATATATTATATAGAATACATACATTGTATAGCATAATGTAGCCTACGTATATGACAACCTTTACCTGTAAGTTTATACATCGTATTGGTGAAGAAAGTCAAGCATATCTGATAGAATATTAAATATATATGGATAATATAAGATCATTTCGGTGAAAAAATTATATCGTTTTATGTGTATTTCTCGAAGTTTGTTTGTGTATGAGTAGGTGTGTGTGTGTGTGTTTGGAGTAAGAGATTTATAAAAACTGTTTGGGCGAAACAGAATTATGTTTGAGAATTAAAATCGAGAGCAAAACATGCAGTCGTGATCATCTTGCGCATGATATGATGCTCCAAATTTGTTTTAACACTGAGTTGTGTATATGTAATATATCTCATTTATTAGCAATATTTGGAGGTACAAATTATAAAGCTTGACTATTTCAAGAGGTTTAACTATCCAGTGAGAAATAGCTTGAGACAAAAAATCCTGTTTGGAAGTTTGACGAAACTTGCGACAAAATCTATTAAGAGAAATGTGGATCTTTTAACTTACAAAACTTTGATAATTATAAATTCTCATTAGTTATTAAATATTAAACGTCCAGCTCTTAATCCACGTCTGATATCCACGATGAACACAACTGATAGTCACAAAAGCCCCCTCTGTTATATAACGTTATAACAAAACCCACCTCTGTTATATAACGTTATAACAAAACCCACCTCTGTTATATAACGTTATAACAAAACCCACTACCAAGCCCACCTCGGATAAGGCAGCGACAGTTGACACGTCAGGGGAGCAGGTGGGTTGACTAGTTCTGTCCATAGCAGCCCACTGCCCGTCTGAAATTGGTACTCAGTATTACCCTCTTGTTACTCAGTATTGCCCTCTTGTTGCTTAGTATTACCCTCATGTTACCGTAACAAAAATAGCTATACAGGAGGAATAATTTGAGGCATAAATGTTACCCTTATGCGGAGGTTACCCTAACAGGGACAGCGTACTGGCGGATTAATGTGCACAATATTACCCCAAAGCGAAGATTACCCTGAGAGTAACTGCGGTATGGGTGGATTAATAAGATGCACAATGTTACCCCCAAGACAAGGTTTACCCTGACAGTAGCTGTGTTACGGGCAGGATAACAATTTTATAAAATTAACACGATCAAAAATTAGATAAAAAATGTCGCTTCGGGCACAAAATGGCAAAGTCATTAGAAGAAACCTACTTAAAGAACCAACACCAATGATTATATTACCCATTTTTTGCCACAGAGATTGAACTTGTCAACACGGGTAGCCAAAACCTAGCAAAGTAGAAGTTTTATTAAACAAAAAAATGTAACTCGTTTATTATAATGCAACTATTTTTCTTGACAAGAAAGTTCACTAATTCACCAGATCTTATAAATTCACCAGATCTTATTTGACGTTTTTTTTAAATTTTTGCTGAATTTGCGATGTAAGAAAACTAATTATAACAGCAATTATTTTCTCCAGTATGTCTCAGGCTTGCTATAATAACCAGTTTTGGGCACAGCCCGCTAATCCGCTAACCGCTAATTAGCAAAGCTGTCGTTTTCCTTAGCCCATGGCTGACCACTTCAACATATGTACGTCAACCAATCACGTCTTGTGTAACCTATCACGTCTATAGCTTCACAAGACGTCATGATTGACGTACATATGTTGAAATAGTCAGCCATGAGTGTGGCACAGCGACTAAAGAAAACTTCAGCTTCGATAATTAGCGGTTAGCGGATTAGCGGACTGTGCCCACCACTGCTAATAACTAGTTTAATTAGCCTCACTGCTACTAGATGTGGCGGCAGCGACAGACGCGTGCTCTGCAGTGCCCCTGCTAGGGGCGCCGCTAGTGCCCTTCCTCGCCCCCACACGGAGGTGCTTCGACGAACTCGTGTCTTTATCTTCATCGTTGTTGTTATCGTTATCTACGCCGGTGTTTTCGTTGCCATCTTTGTGGTTATCGCTGTTTGACTTGCTGTTATCGTTCTTGTTGCAGATGCAAGTTTGTTCTTTAAGCTGCAACGTTAAATTGCGCTGTATCGTGGCTGTGAATAAAAACCACGAATAAAAATTATTAGTGAGCATATTTAAAGGATAAAATCGTAAGACATAATAAATTACTAAATTAATTTAAATAACCAAATAACCTAATGTTATTTAAGATATTGAGTTAAGATTTATTCAAGAGTTGAGCCAAAGTTGATTACGATTTCAACTCACTGGCTTGTTCAAGGATCAGCTGAGTGAGGACCCTGTGTTGATTTCTGAGTTCAACTTCTGACGTGTGGATGACGTCAGCGAGGGACGTCGTAACGTCGCTGTTGATCGACGCACGAAGAGCGGCAAACGAACGCGTCAACGATTTTTCCAGACGTTGTGCTATCTGAAAAAAATTGAACACCAAATTATGGGAAAGTTAAAAAAACTTATAGTAACACAAATTTAAAGTACAAAAAAATTATAGTGACTCGGAAAAAATTGATTTAAACTTTGCGCTGCGCGTCAAAATTCGGGAGCCAGGAAGACGTTGAATACAAATGTGCGTTTGACGTTGCTCGAGACATTGAGGAAAATTTGTAATGTAAATTGACTAATAATCACAGCAGAAGCTTAACAATTAGCGTTTAATAATTATTACATTCAAACCTGCATGCAAGAGTTGAATGTAATAAACTCACCAAACAACAGCCAAACTCAGTCAAACTCTCCAAACAACAGCCATTCAGAACTCTCCAAACAACAGCCATTCATAACTCCCCAAACAACAGCCATTCATAACTCTCCAAACAACAGCCATTCATTACTCACCAAACAACAGCCATTCATAACTTACCAAACAACAGCCATTCATTACTCTTCACTCACCTCTTCAATAACAAAATCCTGCATGGCACACGGCTGCTGTTGTTGCAGCTGCTGCCTTTGCTGATGCAGTAGTTGGTTCTGCTGTTGATAATTCTGTTGCTGATTTGGCATTAGTTGTTTATTCTGTTGCTGCTGCTGTTGCTGTTGGAACCTTCGTTGATATTGTCGCTGCTGTTGCTGTTGATAACGATTTCGCAGCTGAGACATAGATCTGTTTTCCTGTTGAATGCCCGTGAGAGCATCGTCTGCCGGTGGAGGACGATGTGTTGAATTCGTTTCAACCTGAGAAACATTGACGTGACCAACTGTTGACGAGTTGACTTGCCCAGGCGAGTCCGTTACGTCGAAGCGTTCTAGTTGCGTCACCAGCGACTAGAAAATCAAAATTAATCATAAAAAATCGAAATCAATCCTACAGAATTGAAATTAATCGTAATAATTTATACCAATCGTAAAAAATCTATACCAATCGTATAAAATCGAAATCAATCGTAAATAATCTAAAACAATCGGATAAAATCTTAATCGATTACAAATAATCGAAGCCAATAGTATAAAATCAAAACCAATCACTGCCTCGACTGGCGTAGGTAGCGGAAACTATTGCAGAAATGTTGAACAATGTTTTCTTACGATATGTACGAAAATATATGTCTATTTTTGCAGCGACAACTTCTATAAAGACAACTTTTGTTATATAAACGCCGTAATTATAATAATGACGAATAATAACATCATAATTGAATATAAAAAATAATGTTTAAATAAACGTATAATAGTCGTGATGACATCAAAGAATTAATGAACTACGAAGTACATCGTTAGACGTTACCAAACACTGCTAAACTGAAGGATATATCTGAGATTTATTAATTAATAGCAGAAAAAATTAATTAGGATTAGGCTCGATATAAAAAAATATCGATTCTTATGTCTCCACTTGATGATGAAGACTTGCCTGCGTGTCCCTGATGGTGGACTTGATGATGAAGACTTGCCTGCGTGTCCCTGATGGTGGACTTGATGATGAAGACTTGCCTGCGTGTCCCTGATGGTGGACTTGATGATGAAGACTTGCCTGCGTGTCCCTGATGGTGGACTTGATGATGAAGACTTGCCTGCGTGTCCCTGATGGTGGACTTGATGATGAAGACTTGCCTGCGTGTCCCTGATGGTGGACTTGATGATGAAGACTTGCCTGCGTGTCCCTGATGGTGGACTTGATGATGAAGACTTGCCTGCGTGTCCCTGATGGTGGACTTGATGATGAAGACTTGCCTGCGTGTCCCTGATGGTGGACTTGATGATGAAGACTTGCCTGCGTGTCCCTGATGGTGGACTTGATGATGAAGACTTGCCTGCGTGTCCCTGATGGTGGACTTGATGATGAAGACTTGCCTGCGTGTCCCTGATGGTGGACTTGATGATGAAGACTTGCCTGCGTGTCCCTGATGGTGGACTTGATGATGAAGACTTGCCTGCGTGTCCCTGATGGTGGACTTGATGATGAAGACTTGCCTGCGTGTCCCTGATGGTGGACTTGATGATGAAGACTTGCCTGCGTGTCCCTGATGGTGGACTTGATGATGAAGACTTGCCTGCGTGTCCCTGATGGTGGACTTGATGATGAAGACTTGCCTGCGTGTCCCTGATGGTGGACTTGATGATGAAGACTTGCCTGCGTGTCCCTGATGGTGGACTTGATGATGAAGACTTGCCTGCGTGTCCCTGATGGTGGACTTGATGATGAAGACTTGCCTGCGTGTCCCTGATGGTGGACTTGATGATGAAGACTTGCCTGCGTGTCCCTGATGGTGGACTTGATGATGAAGACTTGCCTGCGTGTCCCTGATGGTGGACTTGATGATGAAGACTTGCCTGCGTGTCCCTGATGGTGGACTTNGTGAACAATGTAATGTGAGTGAACAATGTAATTTGAGTGAACAATGTAATGTGGTGAACAATGTAATATGAGTGAACAATGTAATGTGAGTGAACAATGTAATGTGGGTGAACAATGTAATGTGAACAATGTTCTCGAGAACATCAGAGCGAACAATGTTGCAGTTACGCTATGAGGGACAGTATTATTATCAATTTTTGCTACAAGAATTTGTATGTATTATAAAATATATTTACAAGTAATTTTATTATTATTTTCTTTTTGAATTGAGCGAGAAATTTTCACTTATTTAAGCTTTGGAGGGATCGACAGCTGACCTCCTGAGCTGACGTGGCTGACAGCTTACTGAGCTGCTGATCTAAGCTGAGCTCGAGCGCTGACAGCCGAGAACCGAGCTGACCGATGCTGGCACTCAGCTGCTGCAGCTGATGGTTAACGCTGCTGCTGCTGGCAGCTGCATGCACCTGATGTGGGAAGTGTCAGGTGACAAGATACGTAAAATACGCAACGTATAATGCGTAACTATAATAGCGTATAATACGCAATGTATTAGACGTAACTATAATAGCGTATAATACGCAATGTATTATACGTAACTATAATAGAGTATAATACGCAATGTATTATACGTAACTATAATAGCGTATAATACGCAATGTATTATACGTAACTATAATAGCGTATAATACGCAATGTATTAGACGTAACTATAATAGCGTATAATACGCAATGAGAAGATAATATAGCGTAATTATCAATAATTTAATATATTTAAATACGATAAAACACCATCTTAAATTTACATATGTCAATAGGAAAAACTTATTATTCATCAAATCTAGCTGTTTAATATTTCAAATTTTACGGATTAAAAATTAATTGCACATCCGTTGAGAACAAACCAACCAGCAAATGAAGTTGAAACAACGTTTTATCATCAACGTTTTTTTAACGACAGATGCCTAGTGGGCATTTAAACCGTTATTAAAATACGATATAAATTAAACAATTTATTACTTCGGACGCAGCGTGCCTGGCTTCAACTGCAGCACCTCTGGTGACCAGCACCAGCAGCAACACGTGTAACAACCTGGGTTGTAGCACGTGTAACAACCGGGGTTGTGGCACATGTAACAACCGGGGTTGTACGTAGCATCCTTGTTCGTTACAAAACCGGTGTAACTTTCTTCGCTTCGTTGTAATTTCTTGCCACCACCTGAGATTGGTGTTACACTTGGTGTCCATGTGACACATTGAGATTGTGTTATATATATGAACCTTGTAACACAAGACGTTGGTGGTGATGTCATAAATGTAAGCCTTGTTATAGAAAATGTTCGTGATGTTGTTATGTATTAACATTCATCAGTGTAATGTTTCGCACCAACATCTGTTGTGATGAGAAACGCGAGATTCTCATTGATCTGCAAATGAATAATGAAAAGCAACTTAGGCTTCATTCAGACTATGCCCTCACACTCTTACCCTCACCACCACCCCTCACCACCACCCCTCACCACCACCCCTCACACTCTTACCCTCACCACCACCCCTCACCACCACCCCTCACCACCACCCCTCACACTCTTACCCTCACCACCACCCCTCACCACCACCCCTCACCACCACCCCTCACACTCTTACCCTCACCACCACCCCTCACCACCACCCCTCACCACCACCCCTCACACTCTTACCCTCACCACCACCCCTCACCACCACCCCTCACCACCACCCCTCACACTCTTACCCTCACCACCACCCCTCACCACCACCCCTCACCACCACCCCTCACACTCTTACCCTCACCACCACCCCTCACCACCACCCCTCACCACCACCCCTCACACTCTTACCCTCACCACCACCCCTCACCACCACCCCTCACCACCACCCCTCACACTCTTACCCTCACCACCACCCCTCACCACCACCCCTCACCACCACCCCTCACACTCTTACCCTCACCACCACCCCTCACCACCACCCCTCACCACCACCCCTCACACTCTTACCCTCACCACCACCCCTCACCACCACCCCTCACAACCNTGTTTACTTGTGTGCCGTATTGTTTGCCTGTGTGCCGTATTGCTTAATTGTGTGCCGTATTGTTTGCTTGTGTGCCGTATTGTTTGCTTGTGTGCCGTATTGTTTGCCTGTGTGCCGTATTGTTTACTTGTGTGCCGTATTGTTTACTTGTGTGCCGTATTGTCTTCTTGTGCGCCGTATTATTTGCCAATGTGCCGTATTTTTAGTTATGTGCCGTATTGTTTGCCTGCGTACCGTATTTTTTGTTTGTGTGCCGCATTCTTTGTAAACCTGCGTACCGTATTGTTTATTTGCGTTTTTGTATATGACTGTAAACCGTATGATATTCCATTTGGTGGTACGTGTAATTTGTACACAGCATGCAAAGTTATTTATTGACAGTATTTTTCACGTTAAATGTTATAATCAAAATTGAACGAGGAAACAATCACCACTTTTAGTATAACAAATTTAACAATCTTTTAATTCGCATATTCTGATCAGTTTTATTTCTTATTCTCCAATTAAGAAGCACTATGTTTAATTCATGAACTTTTGAATTTCAAGTTTAAATACTCAAGGTTGATGTCGTAAGCTAGAAAAGCACTTGTAAAAGAAGCAATACTTCAAAACTTAATCTTCCCTAATAATCGCGCTGGTCGATCTTGCACATGCACCTCTCCCCACCACTGCTAGAGGGTAACTGAAGTCCTATGAGCCCTCAACCCTCAACCCTCAAGCAAATCTCTATCGTATATACGTACATACATTTATTTCCCCTTGTGATATAAGCGTAATGAGAAATTTTTGATTATATATAATAATGGATTACTAGACGCTGGCAGTAAATAAAATATATTTGAAAAAATGTTTCTTTTCCTTTATTTATAAAAAAAACACAACAATACAATTAAATTATAATGTAAACCTAAAATTAAAAAATATGCATCTTACTTGAAATTAACCATATTAAATGATCAGTATGCAGCTTCATGCGCCGCAGCATTCCCCACGCATCCGAGTGTTGATACCCGCATGTGATGATGCGGATGATGAAGTGGATGATGAATGATGAGGGTAATGATGAAGTGGATGAGGGTAAAATAAGTGATGCCCTCGGGCAGCGTCTTGCCCACAATACCCTCTCTTGTGCCCTCAGCGTCGGCATCAAACAAATCACCGGCGGCCTGAGCTTGATGCTTGAGCATTATAACTCAAGTGTTAATAAGTAGGTTTGCGAGAACTCGCGCTATTTTCGTCTACAAAAACTGCGTCAAAAGTTGTCCATATATGACTTGTAAATTTTATAACTCTACAAAAATGTGTCAACTGTTGCATTATATCACTTATAGCAGTAAATGGATCATATTGTCCTAATGGTGATACAGTTGTTTCGCAGTTGACCCAGTTGGGATAGATGTCCTAATAGTGACACAGATACGCCATTTCCCGGCCAAACTGTGTCGAGATGACCCACCGTATTTTGCACTTCGTTCTCCGTATTTTTCAACATGGAAATTTTCAATTGATAATTTTCCATGTGTAACCTTGTCTTCAGTTCAGAGTCTCGCTTTGATTGATGCGGTCTACGCTCCATTGATATGCACTCATGCACTGATATATGCATGAAACGAACGCACAAGTTTATTAACTTCGTCATGTGCAATAATTTCATCACAGTTGAACCCCGATTCAACCTATGAATGTATAACACAAATTAAACATTTTTTTTATATCCGAGCAAGGTATTGGTTTTGATGATGGAGATATTTGATATTTATACTTTTCCTGCTATTTACGTCTGTACTTGATAAGTTGCTGATGTACTTTTTTGTTACTTTAGTAAAATTTGTAGGAAGTAACTTGTCTTGAACTGCATCCGCTCGGTCAACTTCTTTTTCCAAGTAAAACGAATCTATGATCTTGATATTTTGAATCTCTTTACAGTTTTTATTTTGAGCTTTGATTTTGCGTGGAGTTGCATGAGTAATTTCCCCTTTTCCTTCAGGCGATCGAATTCCAATCAAAGAGATTTTTCTGTGAGTATGAATTTCCGCAAAAATCCCGTCAGAAAAATTTTCTATATTCAAATTTTCACCCTGGTTTTTTCCGTAAATATTTCCTTCACGCCCAATTTTTTCAACCGGACCTGCGGTATCAGATTCGACATGGAATCCGATACAAGTTTTTTCACTTGTATTATCCAACGTATTATCCTGATCTGGAACAGAATCCTCTTTTGCAAGGAATCCTGTAGAGGATGCGAGAGATTCCTTTGAACTTGACCTCGCCACTTCAGAAAATCCCTTAGGATCAACAAGTGAGTCAAAGGAAGGCGGAGGAACTTCATCGACCATCAGGGCCTCATAGCTCGGAGGATCGTCCTGCTCAAAAAATGTTATATTTTCTATCATTATGGTTTACAAATCGTGTATACATCTTTATTTGACAGAAAATTCTCACAGATTTTTTTTTTACACATTTCATTCTTTCACACATTCTTCACATACATTTTTTCACAGAATTTTTTACACAATCATTTACACACTTTTTTTTACCATTCGACAGAATTTTTTAGCAATCGACAATCCCCAACAGAGGATACTTATATCTTTTTATCTAACGCAACGAGCATATAGAATTTGAAAGGGTATTTTAATTAATTAATTTGAAAGGGTATTTTCACAACAATATTTCATCAGTCAAATGGCAATATCTTGTCTGACAAAACATCCACTTAGATAATTTTACAAGAGCTACTTTCTCAACAAAACTTTTGTTAATCCAATGTTACAATTTCCTCCCCCGGGCCTCTGATTCATTATTTTTCGTATACACTATTAATGTTTTTAATGAATGTTTTTATTGGGTTATAGCTAAAGACAAAGGTGTTATCAATATAGAACGAATTATTCATGGAGTTATAAGCAACACTAATGACTTATCATGATAGTGGAAACTCTTATCAGCATGACTTAAGATAAAGTCAAATAGAATATGGAACTGAAGCTTCTTAAGTGCGTTAATTGCTTATTAAATATTAGTTTGACATTTTTATATTGTGAGCACCAAATTACATTTTAATATTCAACTACAATTAAAAGGTTAACGAAATGTTTGAAGAAATTAAAATTTTGATCCATCCTAAACCGTTCTGACTTCACAGCCTCGACGTTGCCAGACAGTAATGTTGGACCGTCAATAATCCTCAAATATTTTTTATATATGCCTAGGTAATTTCTTTTTAGGTATTTCTTTTTAGGTAATTTTTAAAAGTAATTTCTTGTTAGGTAATTTCTTTTAATGTAATTTCTTTTCAGGTAATTATTTTTATGTAATTTCTTTTTAGGTAATTATTTTTATGTAATTTCTTTTTAGGTAATTCTTCTTAGATAACTTATTTTTAGTAATTCTTTTTTGATAATTTATTTTTAGGTTATTTCTTTTAATGTAATTTCTTTTTAGGTTATTTCTATTTTGCTAATTTCGTTTAAGCTAATTTTTTAGGTAATTTCTTTTTTGGTAATTTTTTATGTAATTTCTTTCCATGTAATTTCTTTATAACTCACAATTTCTTTAACTTCAGACACTGAAGCTTCAGAAGTTCGTGAGAATTCTTCTTCTGCTTCACGTGGCCGGCGTGCTGCGATGTTGGCCACGCGCTCGTGGTGCAGCAGCGTCATGAACACAAGCAGCACCAACAGATGAGTCATCACCGCCATCACCACCAGCACAAACGCGGTGGTGTAGGTCATACCCAGCGCCTGGTGTGGTGTAGGCATCACTCAGTAAAATATAAGGTCATATCGTCCAAATAAGGATACATTTTTATTAACATAGGACAAACAGAGATCCAAATAATGATACATTTTCATTAAGACAACGCGTGCAGAGAACGGACGTAACACTGATACTCGCTTTTGCCGGGCAAAAATGGGTCAGGGTGACCCATATAAGGGCGAGAAGCTGTCTCTTATACACATCTAGATGTGTATAAGAGACAGGGACGTACCGTGGGGGTACACGCGGGCCGTACCGTGAGGCTACATGCGGGACGTACCGAGGGGGTACCCGTGGGACCTACCGTGGGTGAGGGCTGGCCTTCCACACGTGGGACGTACCGTGGGTGTACACGTGGGACGTACCGTGGGTGAGGGCTGGCCCTTTACACGTGGAACGTACCGCGGGGGTACACGTGGGACGTATCGTGGGTGAGGGCTGGCCCTCAAGCACGGAGCCCAGCAGCCACGTGCCCGCCATGCCCAGCAGCACGTGCCCGCTGCTCAGCGGGGCACGGCGCCTGCCTCTGCACGTGCAATAATTCATTTAATTAATTATGTAAAAAATCTACGTGTATTAATTAATTTAATTAATTAAGTAAAAAAATCTACGTGTTTTAATTTAATTAATTAATTCAGTAAACAATTCTACTTGTATTAATCAATTTAATTAATTCAGTGAAAAATTATACGTGCATTAATTAATTTAATTATTTCAGTAAAAAATCTACGTGTATTAGTTAGTTTAATTAATTCAGTAAACAATTCTACGTTTATTAATTAATTAAATTAATTCAGTAAACAATTCTACATTTTTAAGCGATTTAATTAATAATTAAATTTTACGTGTATTAATCAATTTAATTAATTCAATGAAAAATTCTACGTTTATTAATTAATTTAATTGATTCAGTAAAAAATTAAACGATTATTAAGTAAATTAATTGATTCAGTAAAAAATTCTATGCTTATTAATTAATTTAATTGATTCAGTAAACAATTCTACGTTTATTATTTAATTAAATTAATTCAGTAAACTATTCTACTTGTTTTAATCAATTTAATTAATAATTAAATTCTACGTGTTTTAATCAATTTAATTAATTCAGTAAAAAATTCTACGTTTATTAATTAATTTAATTGATTCAGTAAAAAATTCTATGCTTATTAATTAATTTAATGGATTCAGTGAAATATTATTAATATATTTAAATAATTCAGTAAAGAATTATTCTACGTGTATTAATTAGTTTAATTAACTAAATAATCAATTCTACATGTATTAATTAATTCAATGCATAATTCGTTAGGAAACAATTATCATTGTTTCGTGATTTGGCTTAATTAAAATACCTAGTTCAATTGGTAATTCATATCTTTTGCATCGATCAATTAGAATTGGTGAATAATCTCTCCAATTATTCATATCCAGGCAGGTAACATAAAAATGAAGTGTGAATTTTAAACTTTTATCTGGGCCTCTATATGATAATCATCAAATTTTGCCATAAAATAATTAATGATTTTAAATTATTTAGCATTTGAATAATGAAAAATGACTAGAATTTCGACATTACACATTCAATGTATTTTACTTGTGACTTCAACATTACACAATCATTGCATTTTACTTGTGATTTATACATTCTACATTTATTGTATTTTACTTGTGATTTGCACATTCATTGTATTTTACTTGTGATTTATACATTTCACATTCATTGTACAATATTTTACTTGTGATTTCAACATTATACAATCATTAAATTGTACTTGTAATTCGAACAAAATTCAGTTGTTCAAGGCGCACCGTACATATCGTACATCTACCGTACGTACATCCACCGTACATATGCATATATTTGTTTATGCACGGTACATTTTGTACCGTACATCTACCGTACATATCGTACGTAGCTATGGTTGAAATTACGTTTACTTTCGACTGGCCCCATGTTTTCAACACAAGTAGTGGTTAATTATGGATTAAATCTGTTTGAGTTCCTCTTAAATATTTTATGTTAATTATTAAAAAATAATTATTAATATGTCAATTGATGCTATGTTAGTTATTAATATGTTAGTTATCAATATGTTAATCATTAATTTCTTGATTATTAATATATTAATTACTAAAATGTTACTTGTTAATGTCAATAAGATACTCACGATGGACTTCTCCAGCAAACCATCGAAGGAAACTAATCGCTAATTGGAACAAAATAAATGTAAGCGATTATTGTGCTTCTTTCAGTTCAATTAACACCTCCGTTAATTATGAAATGATTTAGTTGTAACGGACTGAAGCGAGGAATTGTCTGACATGTACAAGTTTGGTCTAATTGAGTATATCATTCAATTAAGTTTATTAGGATTGCATGAATTTAATGATGAATGATGATGTCATGGGCTCCTGCTGCAATCAATCAAGGCTTATTGTTAATCATATTCATGCACAAATACAGTTAATGATTATCATTGGTTATTATTAAAAAATTGTTTAGAAAATTAACTCATATATCTGCTGGTATAATTGAATCAATAAATAGAGGGTTTTATTTTCGAATAATATTGGGTGTAATACGATTAAAATCATAAGATCAATTATACACACTTCAGAATTATCCACTAACAACGGTCTTAAAATTAAATTTAAATTTCTATAAATATTATACTTTCAACAAAACCAAGCAGAAGACCTCATTTTAAATCTGAATAGTGACTCAGAGAGACGTGAACATTGCATGAAATATCTCAATTACAAAGCAAAGAAGTTTAAAATCTCAAACAACATGTCAATTTCACCGCAAAATTCATTAAACATTTTCAATTGAAATTTTATCTCCCATACTGCAAAATAAAATCTAAAAAAAAATTCAAAATACATTGAAAAAGACGACCGAAAAAACGTAAGCTCGTAGCCCAGAACGCAACTACACACACTGGCAGAGTTTGACGTCAATTACCGAACACATGCAAATCTCAGATGCGTTATCAGTGATAACGATTTGTTGATTCAGCGTCTGTAATCCAGTGAATGAGCATTGATAACCAAATGTAGATTCAGCGTCTAATTCAGTGGATGAGGATAGATTAAGATCTGTAGATTCAGCGTCTCTTTCAGCCATTGAGGATCACGAAAAACATATTATACCAATTCTGCGTATATGTTTTATATTATACAGAATAGCCAAGAGTATGGAAATTCAAGTTTCTGAATAATACAGAAAAGAAACCTGATAACGGGAACGGTTACTGTTAAAACCTGTTGTGTTGTTTATATTATTCGTTTCATGAATTCATTGTTTGTTTTTTCACACAATCTTTCATCTAATAGTGTTCACTGCACCAACAGTTGTGGCGTATAACGAATCTATATTATAACTATATAAATGTAACCACTGAAAGAATTCACATACAGCGTAGTACAATGTGCTACTGTGCAGCACCGTGCAGCACCATGCAGCACCGTGCAGCACCTTCTGAGCAGCACGCATCTCTGCGCCCGAGATTCTCTTATCAGCAGAGACTTCCCCTGGAGGCCTGAGACTCAACGCTAAGCGATAACGTTTGTTGTAGTTGTCCTTGTGTTATCCTGTGTGGTGTATTGTTAATAATACAGAGACTTGAGTATACAGAGACTAAACTATGCAGAGACTTGAGGATGTAGAAAGTAAACTAAATTCACCAGAGATTCAACGCCGCAGTATCTGCGTTATAACAACGAAAATTCACATTACAACGAAAAAAAAAGCTATCCGCTGCGCCGGATACGCGGCAAAGATAACTTCGTTGTTAATGCAGGCTACTGCAGGCAGCGTCCTGCGATCTACTGACCTGCCGGCCTGCATCCTACGAATTACTTGTTTGCTGGCCTGCATCCTACGAATTGCAGGTGTACTCGCCCGCATCTTACGAATTACTTGTTTGCCGGCCTGTATCCTACGAATTATTGTTACGAATTGCATGTCTAGTGCTCAGTATCCTACGAATTATGTAATTGTTTGCTGGCCTGCATCCTACGAATTATTGTTACGAATTGCATGTCTAGTGCTCCGTATCCTACGAATTACTTGTTCGCTGGTCTGCATCCTACGAATTATTTGTTTGGAAGCCTGCATCCTATGAATTACTTGTTGATTAGCCTGCATCCTACGAATTACTTGTTTGCTGGCCTGCATCCTACGAATTACTTGTTTGCTGGCCTGCATCCTACGAATTACTTGTTTGAAGGCCTGCATCCTACGAATTACTTATTTGCTGGCCTGCATCCTACGAATTACTTGTTTGAAGGCCCGCATCCTACGAATGACGTACGCTGAGAATATACGAATAACTCGTGTCTGCATACGGCCACTAAGTATGCGTGGCTGTATGCAGTGTAAAGGCTATTGGCAGGATATACATTCCCTAAACATAAACTAAACTTGTTACAGAAAATGCTTTGTCATTTCCGACTGAAGAGCCGCTTATCGAATGAAGCCCAGAGATTAAATTTGAATGCAATTAACCGTAAGAAATGCAATTAAATGCAAGATGATAAAATGCTGAATGCATTCAATAATTTTGTAATAAACTGACTGTATTAAATAGTTGTCCTTCCACTTTGCTTTTCAAATTTAATCTTTTGCATTGAGGTGACTCAATAAAGAAAAAGTTCGATATACTTTATCCCAATAGAGTTTGCATTTTATTCAGAGACGAAATGAATCCTGAATTAACTCTAAGATGATGCCACGTAAGATCCTCAATCTTAGTGTTCCAAATAATAATATAAATTAAACCACAGGATTAATTACACATTGCTTTTCAAAAACCAATTTATTATAATTATATATGACATTTTTAAATAGCAGTACAGTGATTCAGACAGTCGTGGAAAGCTATAGGAAGATACAGAATTTGTGCAACTCTATCCAGTATACAATAGACATAATACAAAGTTTCTGAATGGTTACCGAGTACACAAGAAAAATACAATATAATATTATTATAGAAATAATATAATATAAGAAAGAAATAGCTCAGAATAGATATTTGTAATGTTATAATCACAGCGGGATGCAAGCAATGGTTACATGTGAAGGAATAATGCAGATATAAGGAAGGTTGAAACAAGCTACGAAAAATGTGAAGCACAAAAACAACTCATGGTAACATAGAGAATTTAGTGTTAAAGTTTCGTGTTTATTCGATGATTTTTGATGGCAATTCAAGTTCGCTCAATTTTTTGCTTTCCTGAATCACAACGACAAAAATTTAAGTTAGCACAAATGTTGATTTTAACAATAAGTTTGTGTTTTTGAAACATGGTAATTTAAAATGTCGCTTAATTGAGAACAACACAAATCAATAATGAGAAATTAGTTATGTTCTCATATGTGAAACACCCAAAAAGTAAAGTGCATGGATCAAATTTATTTCCATTGATGAATGAAAAAAATGTTAATTGAATTTTCTCAAGGGAGAACTCATACCTCCCACACAAAAAAATATGATTTTCTTTCTTTGATGGTGAATAAGAAAGCAAAAAATGGTGAGTAGGAGGCGAGTTGCAGGTGAGTGATCACAGTCAAGGCGAGGGTGAGTTAGTGTTAGGAAGGAACTATAAAGTTAAGCTCGCGAGGTCAAAAAAAAAAACATTTCTCTTAACATGTCTAGAAGAAGTGATTTTTTTAGAAAGTGCGTTTTTTTCATTTTCGTTCTTTTTTATGGATTTGCGGCACTAGATACAGTATGTTATTTATTACTTATTTATAATAAGGCAAAGACATGGCAGCAGATACTTAAAAAAAACTCCATTGTAAGTCCAATAATTGGAGTCCAGATTCAAAATTCACTATTAATTTGCAGTGATCGCAGGACTTACGATCACAGGAAAAAAATTTCGCAAAAATGACACCCTCTCAATCTCACAAAACCGACGCCTAATGTACTCTTGGCGTTAGATTAATTGAAATAATTGGCATTGCGAAGAATCAACTCCATCCAGACCTAACTAAGCTAAAGTTTAAATTAGAAGAGCCTACTAATTCACGATAGAATTTGACAAATAATCGTATACAAATTTCTAGTGAAAAAAATCAATATAATAGCATTAAGCACGAAGTTCACAGGCCGAATAATCGTCCTGGAAATATTTTTGTCGAAGGCAAGAAAAGCAAGCGTGAGTTATTAAAACGAGTATTATTGAATTCGATTTTGATAACCAATAACTGTAATAAATTTTGCCGCTAAAAATTAAAACTAAAATCGAGGGCGGCAACGAGGACGGCGTCCATCATGCGTCGTCATCCACCATGCGTCGTCCATCATGCGTCGTCCACCATGCACCGTATTTCATGCGTCGTGCTTCGTCCACGAAAGTCTTCCTTATGAATTTCCTCCCTTCACAGTAAAATGAAAATCAAATATTAAATTTGTTATTATTGGCTATATTACAATTGGCTAGCTGATTACCCATAATTAAATTGCTAATTATTATTAATGCTAGTCAAGTCACTATTCAAACATACAATTGAAAAATCGAAACTAAGATTAATTTATAAGAATCGTCCGTAAAAAGTCTCTAAAAACAATATATATAAAAAAATTGAATTTAATTTTCATATAGCAAAAAATTCAATTTAAGAGATAAAAATTTCAATTAAGAAACTGAATTTTCAATAGAATAAACTGAATTTAAAATTTAGTGAATTAAACTTTGAATTAAATAGACGAAATTTCAAATTGAAAGGACTAAATTTAAAATTGAATGGACTAAATTTCAAATTGAATGAATATAATTTATAACAGAAACTGATGAATATGTTTCCACATCGCCGACCTCATATTACGGCAGAAAAATCAAAGGCTGTTCCGTGGACGAAGAAGCATCGGGTTCACAGGTCGCGGAGCTGTCCAGCGTACGGCGAGTGCTTGATGCCGAAGCTGTACTCGGGCAGCTGGGGCAACACGTTCGACTGTTGGACCGAGACAAAAATTATAAACAAAATTTTACAAATGTCACAAAACAAAAATATCAAGGGTTTAAAAAAGGGAATAAAATAGAGCTAAAATTTTAAGATTATCATCAACTAAAAATGTAAGAATTTGAAAATGTAAGAACAATTTTTCAATTCAAAAATTCAATTTTTTTTTTCAATTCAAAAATTCACTTTTTTCAATTCAAAAATTCAATTACAATTGAATTTGATTTACAATTGAACAATTTAAATATTCGTAAGGCAAATACAATTGATGAACATTCAACAAAATTTTAAAGCTGCGATAAAATATCTGAATTAACATAAGAATAGACGTAAAAAATCAGCGACGAAAAAGTTTAAGAAGGACATAGAGAACGTCAGCAATTTTTGAGGTGAACATCGACAACTTCGGGAAATTCCTAGAGTGAACATTATATAGAATATCGGCAAATTTCTAAGGTGAACATAAATAACGTGGGTGAACTTTAAAAAGTGAATAAGTTCGAATGCAAACTTCAACGGAAGCGTTAATAACGTCAGTAAAATGTGAGAAAAACTTAATAAAAAATTGTGAATGCATCAGTGCAAATTACTTCATTATAATTATTAACACAAAATAATTACTAAAAGCACAAAGTCATATTCTGTCAAGCAAACAAAGTGCGTTTAAAAGCGTTGCAAGGAGCAAGCCAAATCAACCTGATAATATCACTATCATATGATATAGTGATAATGCTATATCATATCATAATAATAATAATCCAAGCGTCTAATGATAACCAGCAACTACCAATAAACCGATCATCAATTATAAAGCAGGTATATTTAATTCGTGCACCACTCAGAATAAATTGTGTGTTGTAGGACAATTTGTGTCGGTGTAGTTGATGAACTGAACTTTATGTTGTTCGACAGGCAGTTTGTTTGTACCAACTTAGCCCTCTAAATTTATATTCTTAATGCGTATGTATACTTATATTTCTCCTTAAAGAATGAGCCAAGTGTTCCAAGAGGCTTAATTCTTCTCAAATTTGATCTGTTATGAACGCTCCCTTCTCGCTCATAAGAGTACAAGATCTAACAACCTTCTGGAATTGGCATGTTTCACAGTTTCATACGAAACTGTTATCTCGTAGAGCTGAGGAAAAGTGTACAGAACTTGTTTCTGACTATACAGAACTGGTTTCAGACTGTACTCGCATTCACAATATATTTGTCTGAGATTTTAGAATTCATCAAGTGCTGCTGTTATAGTGAGCTTGTTTTCCTCATTCAATTTACAAGAGATGATTTAAGAGCTGTAGGGCATCTTGCTGTTTCGTGAATTACGTTGTTGGAGATCAAGCAAGTGCTAGTTGTGAATAATAATATTTTCAATATGTGGGTGGTTTTGAGTCATTAAGTTGACATCAGTGGTTATCAGCCATACCTTATCGGGATTGTAAGCGTTCGGTGCTGGCTTAGGTGTCTTGTCTCCAGGAATTTCTGTCTTAGGAGCCATCGTAAAGACAGGGAACTTAGTCTTGCACATATCCAAGTCGATGGCGTTATACGTTCCGGGCGCAGGCACGTTCTTCTTATCCACAATTTCTATCTTCGCACCCATTGTGAAAACGGGAAGTTTCTCACGGCAGACATCGATATTTGCAGCCTCGTATGTACCTGGTCCTGGAACTTTGTTTTTATCCACAACTTCGATCCTCGGACTCATGGTAAACGCTGGTAGTTGTTCACGGTAGACGTCGGCGTCGGGGACGTTGTAAGCGTTGGGAGCTGGTACATCGTTCTTCAATTTCTCTTCGATCTTAACGCCCATTGAATACTGCGGTAACTTCGCTCTGTATGCGTCAACATCGACAACGTTATAAGTCCCTGGGGCAGGGACGTTCTTCTTGTCTTTTTCCTCGATCTTGGCCCCCATTGTGAAAACTGGAAGTTTTTCCTTAATGGCATCGATATTACCAGCTTCGTATGTCCCAGGACCAGGGACATTATTCTTGTCTTTTTCTTCGATCTTGGCCCCCATTGTGAAAACTGGAAGTTTTTCCTTATAGGCATCGATATTACCAGCTTCGTATGTCCCAGGACCAGGGACGTTCTTCTTGTCCTTCTCCTCGATCTTGGCCCCCATTGTGAAAACTGGGAGTTTGGGTTTGAGGACATCGATGTTGCCAGATTCATAGGTGCCGGGGCCAGGGATATTGAAATCCTGGGGATCCTTGATGCGTGGGGATATTGTGAACTGAGGTCCTCTGTCTACCATGCACTGTGAGAACAACGGTCATGCAAACCAACCAACAAATTAATTATGTTATTAAGTAAAGTTTATACATGAAGATTCATACGGTCATTGTAATGTAAAACAATTAAGTAAATAGAAGCAAGATGTATGGTGCATATGGATTTATTTGTGATGCAGAACGTAAACAAAATTAAATCGATAAATGCTATATAATATGCAAGTTGAAACTTGATTAGCACGATGCCTTAGAAACATAATAAAGCATACGGAATTATTACTTTTGGATAAATAATTATTATTACTTGGATAACATAAATTAATTGCAAAACTTTTAACCAAAGGTCTCGTGAACTCAAGTTCCACCAGTAATATCCCCAAAAATGGTGGAACAAAAAGCCGACGCTCTACTTAAGCCAAATGCAAATAAGAAGAGAAATGCTACAATTAGCAGAAACTTCACAAAAAGCAAATTAATTTATATCAATTTTCACCATGGTTCTCTTACTCACCGTGCGTCATTTGTGGTGTATTCTTCACATCGTTATATGGTCAGACTCATCAGTTACTCACCGCGGTCAAGTGGCAGCACTGTCAGAGGTGAGGTTACTTTACTCACTTCTTGAGAGCTATACTCATCCAACAATTGTTGTACTCGCGACTATCATAATAATACGCCTTATTTGGTTCATTCAGCCCCATTTTGGAGCAATGAGTGTAAGTACGAAGAAAAACGATAGTATTTTGTTTGAAAACTCATTGAAGGCGGACAACCTTTCTCTTTGCAACCCTTCCAAAGAAAGACATTTAGAATAATCATAATAAAATAAAATGTAATGCAAATACGCGTTAAAATAACCATATAATACCCGCAAGGAACAGAAGGCCAGAATGTAAGGCGAGAAGAGGATGAGGCTAAGATAGGCATGCGAGATTAGAATCAAAAAGATCAATTAAAAAGTTAATGGAATAGGTAGTAGCGATCTTTCACCCACCCGCAGCCTGTAATGTAGCGTTGTTTGATCATAGCAGTGGGATACTTTGTTATGCCCATGCATGGGAACGCTTGTTATGTCCATGCAGAGTAACGTTTGTTATTTTTATGAAGAGTAAGTTCTGTCAAACAGGCATATCTGACGTCACTATAGTCAAGAGTGGCAGTAGGAATGGTAAGTTCGTAAAATGAAAATAAGTTTACGTAAATATACACTATTTGGAATCATTGAAAATTTTGGCACTATATTAATTTTGAACCACACGTAAAAATTTTAGACATTGCTTACCAACTTGAATCGTTTTATTTCGAAAAAGATCTGGAAAAATATCTTTAACAATCTTTTAAGAAACCAACCCCATCAGTTTCCCCGGTATTCGCACGGACCTGGTCTGGGTGATAGGCATTGGGGCTCGGCTTTTGGGTTTTGTCGGTAGGCTCAATTGTTTTTGGGGACATGGTGAAGGCTGGAAGTTTCGACCTGCAGAGATCTAAATCTACGGGGTCGTAGGTCCCAGGTCCCGGTACAATCTTGTAGCTATTCTCCTCAATCCTCAAACCAAAAGTGTGTGCTGGAAGCCTCGCGCGACAAGAATCCAGATTCCCGAGGTCGTAAGCGCCAGGGCCAGGGACGAAGTTATCTATTTTTGATTGAATTTTCGAACCCATCGTGAAAGCAGCCAGTCTTTCTCTTATGGCATCCAAATCTCCCGCGTCGTACGTTCCAGGACCGGGAACGAAGTTCTTGTTCTTTTCCTCTATCTTCATGCCAATAGAAAAGGCAGGCAGTTTGGCCTTACATGCGTCTAGGTCTCCGGGTTCGTAGCTGCCTGGACCGGGGACAAAGTTCTTGTTCTTTTCTTCTATTCTAGAACCAATAGAAAAGGCAGGCAGTTTAACATGTTATATAATTGAAAATCAAATTTAAAAATTTCGCAATTAAATAATTTACTTGAATTGAAAGTAACACCAACATACCCTTGGTTTACAACATACTTCTGAGATTCTGGTTACTTTTTGCGTCCAAAAACGAATCAAATTTGATTAAAGAGCAAAATAAATCACTGAGTGAAATTAGGAACTGGTTTAAAAGAGATTTTAAAATAAAATAGCATACGTTTGAAACCAAATAAAGAAGCCATGATGGAGAACAATAATGAAAAGATTTACTTGCTGTTACAGTAGCAAAGTCGTCTCAAGAGTTGAGGAAGAATGACTTTGACTCACCGTGCTCTCTACGTGTTCAAGATGAGTTCGACTTGTGTAAAATATCATAACACATAACGACTCATAACGGCTACAAGTATAAGATGGTGCGCCATATCTCCAAATGGAACATGGTGCCTCATGTCTCCATATGGAATACGGTGTAAGACAGGAACACGTACCATGGGTCCTTATTATGTAATGCCATATGGCCAAAACTTTGAACCACTTCTCTAGCTCCTCTATGCACATCATCGACCGTTACAGAGGAGGTAAACTGAGTTAGCCCTCACAACTAAATTTGTCCTCCTTTCAGATATTTTTTAGCAGTTGGATACAACAAGATGTGGATGGAATAGTTCAACATACTTTTGCAGGCTTTCTGGTCGAAATTGCTAGTCTTTAGATTCCAATTTCAAGCATGGTAGCCAGCTAGGGAGAGTACCTTTTCAGGGATGTAGACATTACCAAGATGGTAGTATGGGAGATTAACCCTCTACCGCCGTATGTCATTCTCCGGGAACATAACTTTCAGCTTAAATTACACGTAAACTATTGAGTGCATGAGTGTAGCAACCTGAGGACGTTTGTACGCAACAGCGAACATTTTTAAGTTGTCGTACGTGGCGGCAACCATCGTGAAGTGCAAGTCATTTTGCGCTCATTAGAACGTATCCTTTTTGGGTGGGCTTGTGACAATATTGCTCAGGTTACTCATTTAAGGCGGTAGAGGGTTTAGTCCATTTTTGGAGGGCAGGCGATCTCGCATGTACCTTAGTGTAAGTACCTTTTCGTAGAGTTACAGAGGTGTGGGCTTTCTAACATGGTAGCCTGGTAGAGTAAGTTGAAACGTGGTAGAGTGAGTGCAAGTAGCCTGTTGGAGTAAATACCTTTTCTGGGGTGTAGACATTGGGCCCGGGCTTCTGGGTGTGGTCCCCCGGGATGATGGTTCGTTGGCCCATGGAAAAAGCGGGACTTTGTTCGGCTTTGTAAACGTCGACGTCAGCGCTGTTGTAGGTCCCGGGACCCGGGATCTGAAATACGGGACCGCGTTAGAGGATGACTATACGGGACTGCGTCAGACGAAAATCATACGGAACCGTGTTAGAAGATGACTATACGGAACTGCGTCAGACCAAAATCATACGGAACAGTGTTAGAAAATGACTGTACGGGACCGTGATAGAAGATGACTTCTATCACGATGAAACAGAAGATGAAACAGAATCACGTCAGAAGATGGTGAAACGAGACCATGAGTGAAGATGAAACGGCACGTTAGAATATGGTGAATAGGACCGTCTTCTTATCTCTAGCCACGCTCACATTGTCTCTAGCCATGATCATCTTATCTCAAACAACGTCTACTTATCTCTAGCTATGGTCATCTAATCTTTAGCTATGACCACCTTATCTCTAGCAACGTCCACCTTATCTCATGCTATGCCGACCTTATCTCTAGCCATGGTCATCTTATCTCAAACTACGTCTATTTACCTCTAGCAACGTCCACTTTATCTCTAGTACGCTAGCCGAGTCTACCTTATCTCAATTTCCGTCCACCTTATCACTAGTTCAACGTCCACCTTAAATCTAGTACGCTAGCTACATCCCCCTTATCTCTAGCAACATCCACCTTATCTCTAGTCCGCTAGCTACTTCTATCTCAATTTCCGTCCACCTTATCTCTAGTTACGTCCACCTTATCTCTATAACGTTCCCCACATCTCACCTTCATCTTATCCTCGATGTCACGGGCGCGCCCCGCGATGGTGAAGGCTGGGGAGGAGGCCTTACTTCCCTCCACCACGGGGCCCAGGAGGCTGGGGATCACGTAGCTGTTCGGGGCTGGGGAACAATAAAATATTATGATAAAGATAAACAATAAATATTCTATTATAGATGAACAAAAAAAAATATTTTAATAAAGGTAATCAATGGAATATTTTAATAGCGATAAACAATAAACAAATGTTAATTAATATTACCAATAAACCATTTCAAAATGTGCAAATAATAAAATATTTTAATAAATACAAACATTAACAATTTCTTTTATGTACGAGTAGACGTCTACAATTGGAGAGTAGCTATTACTCGTACCTAACAATAAGCCACTACTTGCACCTAACAATAAGCCACTACTCGTACCTAACAATAAGCCACTACTCGTACCTAACAATAAGCCACTACTCGTACCTAACAATAAACCACTACTCGTACCTAACAATAAGCCACTACTCGTACCTAACAATAAGCCACTACTCGTACCTAACAATAAGCCACTACTCGTAGCCACTACTCGTACCTGGGACTCCGTTGGGCTTCGAAGTATCAATTTTGGACCCAAAAGAGAATTTTGGGGCGGCCTCCATGACCAACTCCTCCCCCTTCTCGGGGCTGTAGGCCCCAGGGGCTGGGGTCTGGAAGGGCTTGGGGTCTTTGGGCTTGATGTGCATGGAGGGGGCTATTACTTCCACTTTACCTGCACACGTGAAAGTAGGAAACTTAGGGAATAGAAAGTGAAGTGGAAAAACGACACAAACAATTTTTTAAAATATTTAGAAATGTTGAAAAATGAAGTGAATATTTTTTTAATGAAAGTGAAAATCTTTAAAAATAAAGCACAACTAAACTTTGAAAGTGAAAGTATAATTTAACAGGGAAACTAAGGTATGAAAATGAAACTAATTTCGAAATGAAACTAAAAGGCTTCGAAGACATTTTTTATTTATTTATTTTTATCTTTTGGTGAATAATTTTCGCAAAATTAAACCGAAGCAAATAGATTAGGGACTTAATTTCCGAAACGTAATATCAGAGAAGTAATATC